CAATTGGAGTGTGGGGAGGCGGCTTCGCTGCGGGCGGACGACCGAAGCATCGCACCTGGGGTTGTGGGCGGGGGGGGGAGAAAAAAGGTGTGGCTTTGTTTGGTAGAAACGCGGCGCTCGGGATTGGACGATGACGGAGGACGTGTGTGTTTGGTTCTTGCGCCGGATTTTTGCCGAGTCGTCGCCCGCTTTTCTGGCGCCCGCTGAGTCGTGCCTTTTTTTAAATTCTGATCTGAAGAAAAAAAAGTCCCTGTTCTCCATCAGTGACGCACGGCTGGTCTACTCTCTTCCGATTGCGCTACCGGCATTCTTTCTCTCACTTGTCCATTGCGGGAAAAAATCGTCTGCGAGGCGTGCGGACGACGTCGTGGACGAAGCCCTGAAGAACGGAGATAGATCGTGGTGCGCACGTTCATCATGGACATTTCTCAGTTTTCGCTCCGCAACGTCAACAACAAGGCCTCAGGTCTGCCCGCGAAGGCTCTCGATGGCGGCCTTAGAGTCCACATTCCTAGCAAGCACCTCGCATCCGCAGCGCTGAGACATGGCGATTACTGCCAACTCGACCAGACTGATGGCAGGCGGAGAGCCATCGGAGTGGCCTGGCTGGCCAAAGACCCCGGCCAGGGCACCAAGCGCATGGCCTTCATTGAGGAATCCATGAAGGAGCTATTCAAGGTGAAGCTTGAGGACAAGGTGACCATCACCAAGCTAGAGCCGCAGGAGCTACAGCCAGCGCAGAAAATCTACATCAAAGAAGTTGAGCCCGGCAGCAGCAGCACTTCAAAACCCGAGATCGAGTTGTTCGCTAAAGTCGCGCTTTGTACGTACACCTGCTGTATCCTTCTCGTCACTGTGGCAGCATCCATTCAGGATCATCCTCTGCCTCTGTCGCCATGTAACTTTAATATCACTAACATTTTCCACAGGCACTGTTGACATGGTAGTTCCCGGAGGCACTTTCGCGGCTACCATCTCGAGAGGCCCCAGGTCTGGTATCAAAAACCGATATTTCGTGGAGAGAGTAGAACCACCAACGGAAGAGCCACAGACCCCCTACGTGTGCAACTTCGCCACCGAAGTCCAGCTACTCAGCAAGGACGAAGTGGTCCAAGTCGCCCAGGTGGAGCCCAAGGACGCCCCGGTATTCACCATCGACTCGGACGGCATCGGCGGGCTGCACAAGCAGATCCTCGAGCTCAACGAGCGCCTGGCCAACATCACCAACGAGCTGCGCCGCCGCAAGTATCCTTACCTCTTACGGCGCGCAACGGGCATACTACTCTATGGCCCGGAAGGCACGGGAAAGAGCCTACTGCTCCGCAAGTTGTGCGACGCCCCATGGCGCAAAGTCATCACCGTCGACGAGCCGCTGGCAAGCGCCGGCGAGAAGAGCCAGCAGAGCGCGCTGCGGAAGTGTTTCGAGGAGGCCAAAGCGGCGCAGCCCAGCGTCATCGTCTTCGACAAGCTGGACGCCTTCGCCCCACGCACCGACGAGGGCGGCGGCGGCGGCGGCAGCAGCGCGTCATCCAGATCCGGGCTCGCGAGGTGCATCGCGTCGGAGATTGAGAAGCTGGAGACGGCGCGCGTGCTGGTGGTTGGGGCGACGACGCGCTTGGCCGACGTGGACGCCGGGCTGAGGACGCCCGAGCTGTTTGCCGACGAGATGGAGGTGCCGGTGCCGGACGCGACGGCGCGGATCGACATCCTCAAGGTGCTCCAAGAAAAGGAATGGCCCATCTCCGACGAGACGGCGGAGACGGTGGGCGGGAGGACGCACGGCTTCGTCGGGCGCGATCTCGCGGCACTCTACAAGAAGGCGCTGAAGCGAGCGTGCGACAGGTATTTCGAGCATGACGAGCGGAATGAGCCGGACGGGGTAGTAGGCGAGGAGGAAAGCAATCAAGTTGCAACAGCTGTATCGCTGGCCGACTTTGAAGAGGCGCTGCTCCAGGTGCGCCCCACCGCAATGAACGAGGTCTTCCTTGAGACGCCCAAAGTCAGGTGGTCAGACATTGGAGGGTCGGACAGCGTCAAGGCGGCGTTGCAGGAGGTCACGGAATGGCCCTTCAAGGTGAGGCTTATACGGCGCGGATACGGCAGACTTGTAGAAGCTGACGTTGTTATAGTACGCAGAGCATATGCACGAGCTAGACCTCCAGCCGCAGCGCGGCATCCTCCTCTACGGGCCTCCTGGATGCTCCAAGACGCTGTGCGCCAAGGCGGTCGCGACTGAATCAGACCTCAATTTCCTGGCGGTCAAGGGCGCGGAGCTGACTAGCATGTACGTGGGCGAGACGGAGCGGGCGGTGCGCGAGGTGTTCCGCAAGGCGCGGGCGGCGAGCCCCAGCATCGTATTCTTCGACGAAATCGACTCGATCGCGGCGTCGCGCGAGAGCGGCAAGCAGCTCAGCGGGCTCAACGTGCTGACGACGCTGCTGAACGAGATGGACGGCATCGAGTCGCTGAAGGGCGTGCTGGTCCTGGCTGCGACGAACCGGCCGGACGTTTTGGACTCGGCGCTGATGCGCCCCGGGCGCTTCGACGCAATCCTGTACGTTGGGCCGCCAAACATGGAGGCCCGCCTGGCGATACTGAAGATGCGGCTGGTGCAAAACGGCCGGCCGCTGGCGGATGACGTCGATCTCGGCGAGCTAGCCACGCTTACGGAAGGCTACTCCGGCGCCGAGATTGTCGAAATCTGCGCAGAGGCGGCGCGGACTGCGCTGCGAGATCGCCTCCGGCATGGCGACAAGCGACGCATCGGCATGGAGCACTTTCGACGCGCGCTGGACAAGGTGCCGCGCCGCATCACCAGGGAGATGACGGACCAGTATGAAAAATGGAGCGTCGACGACGCCATCAAGCGGCTGTGATCGTTTTCGCGATACGACGGCGGCGCACCTGGCCATGTAGCTGTAGGGTGCCGACGATAATTGGCAGCCGGCCGCCTGTAATTTAGCATCGCCGTTATATTATTCTCCGGCGGTTTTCGTGGGGCGCGCTGCTCGCCGAGTCAGGCAACATGCGGAATAGAAAGGGCGGGTATACACAAGCATTGCGGCGCGCCAATCATGATGGTGGTGAGAGAGCGGGCGCTGAAACGGCGTGTTTGTCTCTGCTGTTCTGGCCGTTGGGTTGTTTGACGAGATGAGCGACGAGCACGTTGCCGACAGTGGAGCCACGAGCCTGGAGCCTGGAGCCTGATGAGCGGATGAGCCTGTGATGAGCCTGGCAGGGCTGTTGTGCTGGCCGGTCAAAGTGCCGCCCGCCTACCCGCCCAGACGCGATCTGCCGCTGGGCTGGCTCTGGACCGCCCAGCCCGCTCAGCCCAAACCTGACCCGCACTACCACCGCCCGCGAATGTCAACACCAGAACGCACGCAGTCGCCCGCCCGCGCTACCGTCACCCGTATGTACGTACTGTGTACACGGTACTGCTCGCGATAAGGCCCCCCAGCCCGCTGCCGCTGCCGTCGCCGTCGCCGATCGCTCGTTCCAAGACGCGTGCCGGCATCGACGCCGCTGTGCCGCCCAGCACGTTGTCGGCTACGCCCGCTGGTCGCCCGCCGGTCGCCCGCCGGTCGCCGGCTGACGGCGGCTGCAGTCGTCGCACGGGTCGCACGCACGCCTCGAAGATTTGCTGATCTGCCCGCCGAGCGTCCATCACCACTCAGTGCTGCTGCTCATCTCCCACGCCCTCACCGGCGCCCGGGGTCGGTGCTCGGCGGACGGGCAGTCGCGCAGCTCCGCTGTAGCGAAATTGGCCGCCCCGAAGTCAAGAAACCCCCCCCGCTCAAGCTGAAACGGCTCCCGCAGCGACGGCCAGTCCTGCATCCACACGCCCGGCGCCAGCACTGCAGGGTCCGGCTTCTCTTGCAGCTTCGGAGCGTGCTGCGAGGCTGATCCGGAGCCCACTCGACACTCTTCCCGGCGCACGACGGGGTCTGTGGCACCCACGCCCGGCCAATCCGCGCCGAGTCCGCCCTCCCACCGCACTCCCGCCCGTGCTGGGGTATCCCCGAGGAGCCTGGGTGCCCCTTCATTTGCGTGAGACTCGACGTCGACAAGGCTGGCCCGCCGTCTCGTGCGCAATCTCTGCCTGGCCCGCCCATACAAGATGCCTTCCCAAGCTTCCTGCCGGCGCGCCCTGCTGCTGCTGCTCTTCTGCCTCTTCGCGCCTTCGTCCTGGTGCCGTGCGCTCCCCAGCTTTTTATTGGCTCTCCGGAGAGCCGTCCTATCCTTACACACCTTTCCTTCTCTTCTCCCGCCGCGTTGCCGTGCAGGTTTCACCACGCCGCCTTTCCGATCTGCCTTCTCAAATACCGCCCATGGCTAAGCCCATAGCACGCTCCAAATCCATGACGCTAAAGCGTTCCAAACGCACTAGCTACCTGGCTCAGCCCCTTCCGCCGTCACATGGTCACGCTCTGAATCCGGCTGCCATGTCTCATAACGACCTCCGCACTGTTGAACGCCTTCCCCCCAAGCGCGCCGACAGTGGTACAGCTTCAGCTTCCGGCGACGACATCCCGCGGCCCCGGACTGCCAGCAGCGCCGTGGACCGGAGCAGGCCTCTTCACACCGCGGGCACCCCCATCCAGATCCAGCACGACGAGCACACCTTCGAGTTCCCCACACCCTCGCCCGAGGCTATTAATATATCCAAGGAAAAGCTCCACCGGGACCAGACCATGCCTATTGGAATGGCCCTAGGCAGCCCCAACCAGCCCAATGCAAGTGCCTGGAAGCAGTCGCACCCCTCCATCGACCAACAGCCCAAGGAAGCTGCCGCCGCCGCTAACCTGGACCCCGCCAACGATGCCAATGCCCCTCCGTCTGCACGCCCCATGACCGGCGATGAGAAGAAGCCCAAGATCAGCAGGTGGAAGTCGCTGTTCGGCAGACGTCCTGCCGAGAAAGCACCCGCCACCCCTGCTCCCTTCTACCAACTGCAAATGCCTGTGCAGGAGACGCCAGCCGTGCCGACCATGCCCGCAAGAAAAGATGCCCATCCCGACGTCGTTGCCAGCCAGGCCTCTCTCGCGGACAACGAGAAGAGCAAAGCTGCCAAGGGCGAGGAGAAGAAGGCTCGGGGCAGGTTGAGGAGCAAGAGCAACGCCGCTGTGGAGGCCCGCGCCGCGGCACTGCCGCCACTGGATCCGCCAAAGATACCAACCGTCTACGCGGAACAAGGAAGCCCAAAGCCGGCTCCCAAGAAAGAGGAGCTCAAGAAGAAGCCGTCGCGCTTCTTCGGTCACAAGGAAGTCAGGCCTCAGATTCAGCGGGCTGAGACAAGCCCCATGTTGAACGTCGACATTCCCACCATCGAAATGGAACGGTATAGCGTCATGTTTGGAAGTTTGCTCAAGGGAGACCGCCAGTCGAACCTCCTCCATCGGCGCCAAGGCAATGAGAGGCTGAAGCCGCTCAACTCGGACTCTCTGAGGGTACATCATCCCCTATTCTCCTGTTTCCGCGCGGGTCGCGATACTAATTCACCCCAGTTGGCTGACAGGAGCCTGGCGGATCAGGGCGAACAGGGAGATGATGAGCGGCACATGCCCACCCGTCGCGCTACGTCGCCCGCGACACCGACCTTCCAGCCACCTACTCTAAACTTTTCACTATTCCCGCGCGATTCAATGACGGGCTCCCGCTCCAATTCTCCTGTCCCTGCGCGTGCACAGAGCCCTGCGCGGGCACAAAGTCCAGCCCCCAAGAACCTGAACCTTCCGAAACCTCAGCACAGGCTTCAGCGCTCATTCACCGCTCCTTCTTCGCCCGGTCGTCCTTCTTTCAACTTCGAGGACAGTGACTCCCATGCTGCGAAGGAGAGGCCGGCCGTTAGCCAAAACATTACCGAGGAACCTGAGAGTACCGAAGAGATCAGCATTGGCGTCCGCCAGGCCGATCTCATTTCAGAAGCATTCAGTGGCTCTAACCGGGACAGCCAGGCCAGCTTTGAGAGCAATGAAAGCGATGATGAGGTAGCCATCAGGCAAAAGGAGACGAAGGGCCACAACAACAGCAAAGTGGATGTGAGCGGCTGGGAAATGGTTTCCAAAAAGCAGCACCCAGACTTGCGCGTGCAAACAGCGATTGCGCAGGGTACTACCAACACCCTTGAACTGCAGAGCCAGAGCCCGTTGAGCAGCTTGAGCGGCCAGAGTGTCGCTCAGGCGAAAGAAACTGTCGCCAGACAAAACTCACTTCTCGAGAGGCAGCGTCGGGAGAGGCAAGGTTCCCAGACGGGATCACCAGTTGCGGCTTCTTCGCCAATGAAAGAGCGACGGGGGCGCAAGCCTTCCTACACCTCTTCTCCTGTTGCAGACAACAACCAGGGCGAGCAGGCCCGCGATAAGGACGCCGAAATGATGCTGGAGCAGCAGCGCCAGTTCCGCGAACGGAAGCAGAAGCAGAGGGAGGAGCAGCAGCAACAACCGCAACAGCAACAGCAGAACTCCTCCGGGCCGAGACGCCAGCCGACGCTGAAGGAGCGTGCCGAGGAGGTGCAGAACGCCAATCGCGTTGCGATCGCCCGGCAGGTATCGATCAGCCGGCAGCGCGCGCAGCGGGAGATGCTGCGTGCGCAGTCGAAATCTGGGTCCAAGGGCCACAACAGCCCCAACGGTATCGGCAGCACGACGATAAGCAGCAACCAGAAGAACACCACCTTCCACCCCTCGGAGCACAAGAGCCAGGAGTCCAGCCCCAACCCTACCATTGTCGTCCCTGAAGATGAACCGAAACCCAAGCTTGCGCGCCAGGAATCTCTGCGACGCGCGGGCCGCAATGCCACCCCGACGACCGTCACTGTCCAAAGCCCGACGGGCGAGCGTCTTGTTCAGAGGCGCACGCTTACCCCCGTCCTTGTCGATATTCCCAACCGCAAGAGTGTTGTCGGGAACATCGTTGACGAGTGAGTATTTCCCTTTAACTTTTTTTTTGAGCTTTTGGGACTGACTTTCCTTTGCAGAGGTGACTATGACGCGCCGCTGATGCCGCCCCCTATGCCGTTTGCCATGTCAGACCCCAACCGCGCCAGCACGGTCTCATTCAGCCACCTCAACTGTTGATATATCATGACTTGCTCATCTTTCCCTTTTCTTTTACTCGTCATGTTTATCCCGGGCGAGGGCGGATACATCAAAACGGCATAAATTACAAACCGGAGTTTTACATGAACTGGGCAGGGGTGCCCAAGTCTGGTTGAAAGGTTACAAGGGTTTCATGGGAGTGGTTTTACAGAGTAGGAGGGATTTCCTGGGCTTGGGGCGTTGACGTTCTACTTACTGCTTCATTTTCGCATTCTCGGTTTCCTTACAGCGTTTCTGGTGCACCACTTTCGAAAAGCTGGTGATGATTTTGGTGTTTCTTCCCTTCTCATCTGGAGCCTTGAGGGCTCGGGTCGTCAAGCTGCACGCCAATTCACCATTGTCGCTTTTTCCTTGCCTCTTGCTTCAATTTTTCAATGCCTTTTGGCAAAACACTTTCTGATGCTTGCACTTCAGACAGATACCCCACATTTTTTTTTCTTGCATGTTTGCCATCCGAACGTTTTTGGTCTTTTTCATTTGACATTGGCCATTTTCTTGCTCTACGCATCTTCTTCACTTGCATCTCTCTTGGCATCCAGAGCACGATCTTTGGGGGTCGCCAAAGCTTTCTACTTCTTTCCCCTTGCACATGGTCCTGCGGCACAGGACAAGGATTTGGCCTCCGCTAGTCGGACACGATATCGAAATATATCTTCACTTCCCTTCCTTTCTCCTTTGTTTACTGGCTTCTCTTTGCTTCTATTCTTCACCTCAGCAACGATATTTTTAGACCAACGCGAAACTTCATATCCTTCCATCTCGGTCTTCGTTTGATGCGACACTGTCTGACTTGGAATCTGAGCGAGCAGTGACTCTCGGCCAGCGGCGGAAGCAGTACGGTGAAGGTCCATCGGCATGACGCACACCGCAAGAAAGGCTGGCAGGCAACAGCGAGAGAACCTTACGCGTCTACAATGCGCCGATCAAGCACTGCCAAGGCGGCTCGACAGAGCCAAAACCCACGGCCACGGTACACGGCCTGACACGGTGCCAATAGCATTACTTCTTTTATTCTTTCCTTCTGCCTGCCGTTTCGACAACGCACATGGGCGTGGGGGCGAATCGTTTGCTGTTGATGAGGCATTATTCAGGGTGATCCGAGCACGTTTCACGATGCCTCCCACATCCCACCCACATGGCTTCACCGGTACGCATTCACGTTGATCTGCGACGTCTAGACGTTTTTTCTTTGCCCTCTTTCTTGTTTTAGAATGCCCTTTCCAGCCCTTTTTCTTGGCGCTGTTTCTCGTCCGTTCGGGGCAGGTGGTCGCTGACTTGTATGCATGCCCTATCGGTGTTGCCGGATTTGGTCTCCTGTTCTAAGGCTTGGGATGTGTGGGCGTGTTTGACCCGTGCTCGTTGCCGAATTTGCCGAGCTGGTGAGTCGGTTTGTTCGTCGGGCTCGACGCTTTGGCGGTTGAGCGTCCCCGGGTCGTTCGTCGCGGAAGTGTCGCAGACGAAGGGTTGGGTAAAGAGGAGGAGTAACTCGAAATGCATGTATGTTGTGGAGTTGACTCCGTTTTACTCTCGTCTTTTTTCTTCTACATTCCTTGAGCCAGTGCTGTGGCTTCGGCGCGCACCGAGATGGAGCTGCACGCACTGGTCTTCCATCACTCTTGAGTTGCCCATTTGGGGAGCATTGACGGTGGTGGCGGCGCAGGGGCCCAATCCGGTCGCCCAAGCTTTTCCTTATCGCATCGTGTCAGGTCGTACTCGCGGTCTCGTGCATATTCGGATACTTGCGACGACCCATGTGGGCACGGTTGCCGAACAATGCAGAAGAATGAATTGAAGCAGGGGCGTCAGGTAGCACGTTCTGTTATACTTTACGCGGTTGCCTTTTTGGGTAAAGCGCCCGGCGCTAGAATAAGCATCTTTGAATGTTTGTTGGGAATGAATGGGCTTATGTGGTTGCGCGTTATGTTTATGTATGCGTATGGTTGCGCTCGTCAGTCTCCCATCACTGGCACCATGCGAGGCGCTGTCTGTTGCTGAGGCGATGCTCGCATTCGCTTCCCAAGGAAGTTTGTTTCCACTGTCCCGCAATCGCTGCTCACAGAACCAGATCAAATGCATTATCGGTGACCTTTTGCAAGCCTGTCATCATCTATTCAGAGCAGTCTTGCATCATCCCACAATCCAATCTCCCTTCCTACACCCGTTCATCCTCTCCACAAACTTGTCTATCCTCTCCACGATCCACCCACTCGTCATCACCACCTCCTGTCCATTCGCCCCTTCCACCTCCTGTCCCAGCCTCACCTCCTTGGCCCATTTGCACGTGCCATCACCGCCACCATCCCACATCCACTGCATACACTCGCCCATCGCCTCACACGCCCTCCTGCACCCCTCCTTGCTCTTCCCCCCTCCCCACTCCAGCATCTGCCACCCAGCCATCTCCTCCGGGCTCAAATTGTTCCAACTCCCCCGCTCCCCCTTCCGCACCTCCGGCGCCACAAACTCCTCAAAAACATGATAATACCTCATGACCGCCCCCTCCTCCTCAGCCCCAGCCCCAGCCCTTCCCTTCCACCACCCCCCATTACTCCCGCGCCCACCGCTCCCATGACCAAAAAAACCCCTCTCAAACTCCCACACCCTCCCCACCCACTCCGCACTCATGTGATGCCAACTCACAACCGGAAAACACCAATGCCTCTCCGTGTAGTCGAGCGAAAACGGCGTCTCCCCCTGCATCATCGGCCACGCGGCCGTCAGCGGCACCCCTCTGCCCTTGCTGCCCCCTCTACCCCCTCTACCCCCGTCGCTGCCCCCGCCCTTGCTGCCCCCGCCGCCGTCACCGTTGCCGTCGCCGCCATCGCCGTCGCCGACATTGCCGTCTCCGCCGTCATCGCCGCGCAGCGCCTGCGCGAGGACGAGGTCGCCCGCCCAGGCGGCGGCGGTGAGGCGCGCGTACAGGCCCGGGTCGGCGTCGAGGCGGCCGACGAGGGCGGCGAGGGCGGGGCGCGAGAGGACGATGCCGGTGCCGCCGTGGGCGAAGGGGGTGGAGTCGATGAAGGTGGGGGAGCCTTTTTTTTTGGATTGGGTTTGTGTTAGCTGGTGGGGGTGGGTGGATGGGTGATTGGGGGGGATTGGGTCTGGGGGAGTCTGGGGGGGATTGAGGGTGGGGGGGAAGAGGCGCGGACGGGCGGACGGGCGGACGGGCGGACATACCTAGGTATCAGGGCTTTGAGGCGTCGAGGCGGGGCAGCCAGCGGAGGAGGTTGGACCACATGAGGGCGGTGTCGGCCTCGATGAAGACGAACCACTTGGTGTGCGGGCCCGGGGCGGCGGCGAGGGCTTTTTGCATCAGCGGGAGGAACTTCCATTTGTCGAGGTCCCAGGCCTTTTGGTGGAGGGAGGGGTCCGAGGATGCTTTGGCGGTGATGTTGACGCCGGCGCGCTGCCAGGCACGCAGCTGGTGGTAGAAGGCGAAGGCGTCGGGGTGGGCGGACTGCACGGCGGCGGGGACGTCGGCGAGGGTGTCGTGGACGGGGTGGCCGGCGATGGTGTCGTCGAGGTCGGAGAAGAGGGCGTAGTGCGGCGCGCAGTGGAGGGTGGTGGAGAAGTGGATGGGGAGCTTGGCGTGGGCTTCGGTCGCGCCCGTCTTGAGCACGACGAGGATATCGTCGGCGCCGGGGAGGTGCGACGGGCAGGCTGCTGGGGCGAGCGGCGGCGAGGAGAGCGCGGGGTCGTGGTCGGGGAGGGGGCTGGTGAAGTTAGGCCGGTCGACGAGCCGGTGTAGGATCAGGATGGAGAGGACGAGGCAGACTGCCGCCGTGATGATGAATTGCGCCTTTCGGCGGACGTGGCCGTGCTTCAGTCCTTCCATGTTGCCACAAGCATGCGGGTCTTGCTGCTGAAGCAAAGAAGTAGATGCATTTTGGGCAGCGGACAGTATAGAGTGGGTAGACAGGAGGGCATTGTATTGATTGTACCCGCCGGTTGCGGTATATAGCTGCTAAAGTCTGAGGTTCCATGGTTCTCGGTGAAGATTAAAACCCAGAGAATAGTAACTTGTGGGATGGTGGACTACTGTGGTTGGGATTTGGATCTCGACTCTATCTGATCGGTGCGGAAACACAAATAGCCGCAAGCATCTGACCGAGGTTGATATTAAGTAGTAGTTGCTTCTTTGGCGGGGAGAAATCTGCTCCACTGTAGGGAAGACAGTTCGAAATGTGTTGAGGAGCCAAGGGTTAGGAGTGCATACCCCTGCCGGTTTAGGCTTAGTTCCTTGCTTCTTCACGACTGCCTTCGTCCAGTACTTGCCGCGACTCCTGGTCCTTGTCCGAGTATTGTTTCTGGGAAAAGAGGGTGCTGACTCTGCATAATGAATGGCCCGAGCAGGGCTTCGGTACCGTATTGAACTGGCGTATTACTTTTGAGGTCTCCATCCTTATTCCTCGCTGCAACGAAGAAAAATAAAACAGAAATCAGTCCGATACATCAGTGCAAGCAGCTCGATGTACATCCTTGGAGTTCCTCTGATAGCCTAACGAGACACCATCGTTATTCGTCATCCGTGTCGACATTTAAACCTCCCCGGCCAATCGCCTTCATGCATACTTACCGATCGAAGTCCCGCAAGATGATTTGTAAGATCAGTCTCGCAGAGACAAGGAAAGCGTGTTTCCGCTGCTACACGTAAATGGTTAGTGTTCCAATTTTCCAAGGTTTCCAATCAGTCCGCATCCGGCGTCTAGTCTTGCTTGGAACACCCACGTCAAGGTTCGGTCAGTTTGCAGCAACAGTATTATTGCGAGCCAAGAGCGCGTAGATCCTACTACGGTTTATCTTCATCCCTCGCCCTGAGAATAATCTTGACAGGACAGGTTTCTCGATAACTAGGAGAAAGACTGAGATTCCGACCATGCTTGCTGGTCGCGACGAAGCCAGACGGGTCGAGGAGAACTACCAATATTAAAGGCCCAGCGACTAACTTTTCGACGCATCTCGCCCCCTCGGACTCCACCAACAGACCCGCCTACTTCTTCTTCGAACCTCTCGACTCTCTGATTTCTTATCCTCCCACGGCCTGGTAACACAAATGCATCAAACATCCGAGCCGACTGCACTTCGATTTTCCATGTCTTGGTGACGGCTCCACCAGCCAACGGCCAATAGCGGAAGCATTGCCCACAATGTGGTCCCGACTCTTCACGAACACAACAACACCGAGAGCAAAAGAAAATTTCTCTCCGAGACAGACAACGCCGGCTGGAGACAAAAGGGATGCGTCGGCCGGGAATCGAACCCGGGGCTCATCGAGTTCAAGAACCGAGATGTTATCTCGTCATGGCAACGATGAATTTTACCACTAAACCACCAACGCTGATGAGTTGTGATGAGAGCGTACTTGCTCAGAAACAATATAATGTAACTTGCTAACTATTCTCGTGGAGCATGGTACTCTGATACGAGGCGGGATGGTCGTTCCGTAGAGATGTCGTCGCCGCCAGATATGTCATTCGAAGTGTGTGTATAGGCTTGGGATATCGCTTTCACAAGCCCTTGATTCTCTGACAGTCCCACAAGTATAAAGAATGTACATGTACATACATACATACATACGACTTCGGACACGCGCCGCTCGCTACATGAAGATGACCTTCTAAGAACGGGGTGGTCAAAAAATCTTCTGCACAAACAAAAGCATGCATATGGCATGGCTGTGGGTCTGCGTATCCCTGGAACGAGAGTGTCGTCTCCGTCGGCGTAGTCCTCCTTCAGCACGGAAGCACGCTCCGTCGGAAGTAGCGCCGAGCCGCAGACGCCTAGAATGCCGACAGAACTTCAGAAGCAATATGGTTGGCGCATTTGCCACCGTATGGAGCTGTGTGGAGTCCAAGGCAGCATGTCCGTGGCGTGGTGACGAGACGAGTGGGCCCCTGTCTTTCGTACCGAGCCAAAAGCATGGATGCCAATGACACAACAGCCGGTACGACATGCCAAGAACGAACGCTGCTCAATCTCTAAAGATTCGTTTCAGGCAGGTACCAGTCTCGGGTTCTGGCTCCAGTGGTTCGAGTCGATTACTGCGAAGAGGTATAGATTTTCATAGATCCACAGCCAAATAACCCCACTTGTTCGACCCCGCTACCTCGGTGCCGAGGTCGCTCTTTGGTATTGTGATCGACCCCTGGATTTCTCGGTTATCCATGCCTTCAAGAAACAGTCTGCACTGCTGAATAGTGGAACAGCTTGGCTGTATGTATATCTTGTTTTTTGATCCACTTGCAAAAGGGCCGAGGCAGGTATTCCCGCCGCCGGCTTCTACATAAAGAAGACACTGTTGGCTTGATTGAAAGCAACCAGGACACGAAAATGATTCACTCCGCTCTTTCATTGTGGGTCCTTCTGACATTTGCCACATCTGTGTTATCACAAGCAAACTTGAGCGTTGTTGGAACATGTCAAGAGATCGCCTCTAAAGTCTCCAGTGCGAGCGATGTCATCTATGCATGTGAGTCGACCGTCTCCTGCAAATCAATTCAGATTAACCTGATCTTGATAGTGCATCCCAATTTCCTCCCCGATATCCATCACTGGTACCTTTCCTCAAGCCAGACTCCGACATGCGTCTTTGAGCCCGGATCTGTGGAGGACTTGGCCACAGCCGTAAGCTCTCCCTTTCCGCAACGCTATACATGCTAACCTCTGATTTCAGGTGCAAATTATCGGCTCTGCTCGGTCTCCATTTGCAGTGAGATCAGGCGGGCATGCGTCCAATCCTGGCTTCTCGAGCACGACCGGGGTCCACATCTCCTTGAATCGCATGGACCAAGTTGTACTCTCTGCCGACAAATCAACCGTCGAGATCGGGACTGGAACAGTGAGTGGTTTTAGCGTGGATAGACTTGGCTGAGGTCACTCTAATACTATCCAGACTTGGGCAGATGTCTACGAAAAGCTTGAAGATACCGGCTACAATGTCGTCGGTGGGCGGACTGTTGGCCCGGGTGTTGGTGGATTCACCCTGGGTGGCGGGTTTTCTTGGTAGGCAGCATAGTCTGACTGCACAAACATGGTATGGCTAATCCGCTTTGTTCTGTAGGAAAACCAATCAACACGGTCGGCTCCATTTCATTTCTTATCACAGGCATCTTCCTGACCTCGTCAAGGCTTAACATGCGATACGGTCAAGAGCTTTACCTTAGTATTACCTGTCAGTGTTACTCGCGCTCGATAAAGATACCGTGAATGAACTGACCAACCGCAGAACGGAACTATCACACGCGTCGACTCGGACAAGCCGGATCTCTTCTTCGCTCTGAAAGGAGGTCTGAACAGATTTGGGATCGTCGCCTCAGCCGAGTTTTACACCCACGAACAGCCTTCTCAAATATATGTAAGTCTCATGGGAGTTTTCTATTCATTAACGAAGATCTTATGCAAAGATTACAGGGCGGCTTGGCGGTATATGGCAACGATAAGCTTGATGCCATTCTCGAGGCCACTGCAAAGTTTGATGCGGAAAACACCGATCCCAAGGCGCAAGTCATTACGACGCTTGAAGGATCGTCATTGACCGGTACCTCCGCTTTGGTGCTGTTCTTTTACGATGGACCGAGTCGGCCGGAAAGCTTCAGTGTCTTTGACAACATTACGGCAACACTGGACATCACAGGCACAAAGACCTTTGCCGAATTCGTCCAAATGTTTCAATCCAATATTGTCATCAATGCTCGTGGGACCTTTCACACTCTTTCCACGTCAAAGTTGACATCTGGATTCTTGACCGCGGTCAGGAACGAGACAGACGTAAGCTTGCGATTTGTCTAATACTTTGTCAGTATACTGACTTCGCCGTCTTTCTTCCAGACCTTCGGCAAAGTGATGGCAAGCCACAGCGGGTCGAGCATAAGCTACGACATTGAGCCTTTCCTTAAGACATACGGTGAAAAGGCAACTGACAGCGCCTACCCGCATCACGATTCGCCTCTTCCTGTAAGTAAAAATTCAGTCAAGTACCCGCACAAAGCATAAGTTTTTGCCAACGTACAAAGAAACAAATAACAGGACTGACCAACGTTCCACTGCAGTTGAACTTGTACTTTGCCTGGCTCTCGCCCGCCGACGATGAGTTCTGGTACGATGCGATGCGCTCGTCCATCCAGAATCTGAGGAGAATCGCCATCGAAGAAGGCATCTATTCTTCTGATTTCACTACCTATCCTAACTACGCGATCTCAAATACAACGGCGGAGGATTTGTACGGGGCCAGCAACGCAGAAAGACTCCGTAGCATTAGGAGCCAGATTGATCCAGATGGTATCATGGAACTGGCAGGTGGCTTCTCCATTTAGTTTGGCATTCTCCCAAGTAACTCACTGATTTCTTGGGCGTATTGAAGGCTGAGGAATGGAAGATACGGCAGCTGATGCCTGTTAAATTATCAAGAGCTACGCCTTCCTTGAAATGACTCTGTTCGGTTGTTCAATCCTTCGTTCCTATACTGTAGACTTTTTGGCTCGTACTATTAGCGATATGAGTTTTGATTATATCGCCGGTGCGCTCAAGCTGGATAACAATGTTGACGAGGCTTGGCTCTCAGAGGCTCATTCCCTTGTTCTTTCGGCTGGAGAGTGCAGCGCTGAGCGCGCTTGGCTGCTCAATCAACAGGAGGTGAGGTAATGCCAAGGAGGAACGCACAATCACTTCCTACTTACTATTGGATACAACAAGCTTAGACCGGTACTGTATCACGACGTAGACCAGCAGGATACCAGGTTCAGAGATGAACACAAAACCTTGGCAGTGAATCTATCAGTACGTACCCATTCCTCCACATGTTTTTCGTTCTTGTACAGCTCAGAATATCTATCGTCCAGGGGACCTGCAACGGTAAGCAACATGGGCGATTGAGAAGCGTAGGCGGCTTACCTCAAGTGTGACGTACCACTATTGAGGTCATTCGTAGCGTGTGCTTGAGACGTCCTGAGGGAGGGGGTTAGGAGAGTGGCAAGAACTTCTCCAGTTCTTCTCCATTTCTTCTCGTCCTCGGCCTGGCTTAATAGAGGAGTGTCCCTCAGGAGTTCAACATCAAATGGCGACTATAGAGTACGGAAGGTGGCTGAAGTGGCGGCGTGGCGATGAGACGAGCCGGGCAAAGTACTCAACGCTGTTGGTTGCCGCAATTTTATATCCCACAGGCCGGCCAAGGTAAGTCTATAGCCTATAAACTCAAAAGCTCATGTTTCCACTGATTTTGATTCTACAGGGCGCATACCACCACAAGTGGATTCAGGAGAGCTATTAGAGGCCGGAGTGACCATTTTGGCCTCTTTTGTCAACCTTCATCCTTGTATACCAATTACCTGTCAGTTTCTTTTTTATTGGATACCCAGCCGTGATCATGCCAGACCTCATACGTAGAACTCCATGGTACCATTGCCACACTACTTCATACTCTCCACTACCACGCTACTGTACACCTATGTATACCAACCTCCCCCACAGACTCCACCACATGAACCCCCACAATGACATCCCCAGCCACACGCAGCCCCTCCGCACATAAGCCCAAACACTAAACCCGATCCCTTTCCCCACCACACCGCAGCACCCCTTCGTTTCCAACCAAAAAAGCCCCCCTGTCCCGCTCCGTTTCACGCCCAAACACCAATAGATGTACCTAGTATCTGACGCGTCACTCACTCACCCACTCACCTCTGCAGCAAAAGCGCGCGCGTGCCTGCTGCAGCAAAAAAACGCCGTCCGTCACTTCGCTTTCCCCTGCCCCGGATCATATGTAAAAGCAAATGCAATATGCGCATATGTATGCAGTATCCCGCATTCGCGCATCTGCGGCCGCGGAGCCAACTAGAGCGCGGATGTGTCATCGACTCCCCCTCCCACCCCGCCTCAAAAAAAAAACAAAAAAGGAAAGAAGGAAAGGGAAAAAAGGTTTCAGGAAAGAAGTCATGTGCGTGGCGGACGCGGACGCGAGACTTGCTTCCCGCCGCTGACTGACTGACTGACTGACTCAATGCGATGGTGGTCGCGCTCGACATGCATGTCTATGTACATACCAGAAGCTCAAAAGCAAGGGGAGGGGTGAGAAAAAAAAAAGAAAGAAAGGAATATATCCTTGGCGCAGAGGCTTGTGTTGATTAAGTGAAAAGTGGGTGGGTGGGCGGTCGGTGCCCTGGCTACCTGGAGCCCTGTGAGAGGCAGGCAGCACGCCTCGGAGGTTTGGGATTGATTTATTGTTAGATGCGAGGAAACGAATGACCTACGGGCTGGTGGCCTGACACCGCCGCCCCGCGCTTTTTTTTTTTTTGCTAGCATCGCGCAGCTGACGTGTCAGCGGCTGGGGGGAGGGGGAAGAAGATGGCAGGGCTGGACGGCGGCTGACGAGTCCCTTATCATCTAGGGCTTGTTTCAGTTGATTGTTTTGTGTAGCGCCGGCTGGTGCCAGTCTTGCAGGTCCGTCTGACGAGCGGATCCGAAGAAGCTTTGCGGGAAGGGAATAAGCTTCTAGGAGATTTGCTAGCTGTCCATGAATAAGGAGAACATTTGGCACAACACAAAGCTCAAGGTTATCAGAAAGGTGTTTGTGACGGAAAGGCAAAGCCATATATTTTGTACATTGAAGAAGGATCTTGCTCTGGCAGTGGAAAAAAATATTCTACCTCGCTGGAAATACAAAGTCTTTAAACTGGGCTCTTTCGAGCCCATCTTTTCATCTCTCTACAATACCCGAAGGACTTTCACATCCCCCTCCTGCTTCGCATTCCTCTAGAGACAACAGCGTTAAAGATCACGGCGTGATGCGAGACTTGGCGAGCGTTTAAGCGCGGAGGTCACGGGCGTGGCGGCGGGCCTTCTTGGAGGAAGAAGACTCGATGCTGGAGACGAGCTCGGCGAACCAGTCAACGAGGTCCTGGACGGTGGTGCCCTCGGGCAGCGACGACTCGGGGATGACGCTGGCAGAGCCGGTGGCGGTGGCGGGCAGGGTCTGGGTCAGGACGCTGGAGGGGAAGGCGGCGGCGATCTGCTGGGCGAGCTGGCTGTCCGACGAGGAAGAGGCGGCGGTGGTGGCCGGGGCGGTGGCGGCGGCGGCCGAGGTGGCCAGGGTGGACGAGGGGGTGGCGGCAGCGGCGACGGCGACCTTGGAGGTGGCCGAGGCGGCCGAGGAGGCGGCAGCAGAGCTGGAGCCGGAAGAGGACGAGCCGGAACCGGAGCCGCTCATGGTGAAGTCGACGCAGGCCTCGTAGGTCTGGTCGATGTCCTCGGCGAACCAGTACCACTGGATGACGCAGTCGCCAGCGGTGGCGCACTGGTCGCCAAGGTCGGAGGGCATGGTGATGCTGAAGGAGGTGTCGGTGTCCTTGACGCCGGTGGCGGTCGAGGCGTAGACGTCCCAGCTCTTCAGGGCGGAGCCGATGACGCTGTTGGAGGCAGTGTCGACGATGGAGACGTTGGCAACACCGGTGTGGGGGGCGTGGATCTCGGCGGTGAAGGCGACTTCCTGGCCGGCAGTGTAGGTCTGGACGTTGTCCTTGTTGTCGTCGAACTTGTAGCCCTTGCAGAGCCAGATGTCGCAGGCGGCGGCATCGTAGTCGCTCTGGGAGCTGGCGACCTGGAGCTCGCCCTGGACGTTGCCGTAGTGGTCCGACTGCTGGTTGGTGTAGACCTGCTGGCCGCAAGCGGCAGCCATGGCATCGCCGGGCATGCGGGCCTGGGGCTTGGAGATGTAGCCGTGGCCGGCGACCAGGGTGGCCAGGACGGGGAGGGCGGCAATGTACTTGGCAGACATGTTGACGGTGGTGTAGAGAAGGTGGATCTTTGCGGTGCAGCGAAAAGAGATGGTGGTGTCCGGGTACCTGTACCTGGGAAACGAATGGAGGGCGGAAAAGAACGTGGAGGTCACAGACCGGGAAGAGAGCAAGATTCAGCTGGAGATGGCGAGCCTTGGTGGGGAGAGAAAGCCGACATTGGGGGCAGCGGCAGGTCAAATATAGCTGCGAGTCCCTATCGCGGCGAAACGGGTGGGGCGTAGCAAACGGGGCGTGGGTGTTTCGTCGACTGCCGCATCGGGCGAAGCGGTGTCAGTCGGCACGGGTCGGGCTGGGCTGTGGGCGGCTGGCGACCCCGGCGGCTGGCCTCGTTCTGCTCGGCTGGTGTTTTCAAACAACATGCCGCGCCCCTGGCCATCTCCGTGCGCACGTTGGCGGGGATGCCGTCGCTCGGGGCCCCTGGGTGGTCGCTTAGCAGCCCGCTCTGGGCGCCGCCGCCGAGCGCTGTCTCAGATTTACAGCGACTTCTGGGGGCTGCCAGCGTAGCCGCCTGCGCCAGTGCGCCAGGTGCCGAGCGCAGAGCCGCGGCCGGAGCGCGCCAGAGCCGTGCATGACGTTCGTGTGGTGGTGAGGGGAGCGAGCCGAGTGGCGGCGGAGAATTGTTGTTCTCTCTGAGTCTGTGCCCGCTCTGTTTCGCAGCTGCTAATCTCGCCAAGCTCAGCGCCCATCGCCCATCGCCTGGGCGTCCCACGCGCCGCAACCAGAAGCGACAGAAGCGACCTCACCTGAAGCGCTCCTCCAGCCGCAACACACTGCAATGTCCGATATGGCGCCCCAGCACCCCTCGCACCTGTCCAACCCGCTGGCCACCCCCGCCCAGCTGGCCCAGTCCGGCTCGCAGCTCGACGGCGTCCCCACCGACCTCGAGGACTCGATCCGATTCGCCGGCCAGCGCCTCACCCAGGCCGCCGGCATCCTGCTGCGCCTGCCGCAGGACATCGTCGCCCAGGCCATTGTCGTCTTCACTCGCTTCTGGATCGGCTCCGAGGGCGGCAGTCTCAAGGACTACGGCGCCAAGGTACTCTTTCACGTGACTCTCCACCTCCCACTCCCCAATCTGCTCACCTCCCCGGCCAGGATGTCTCCGCCGCCGCCCTCTACACCGTCGCCAAGCTCTCCGCCTACCCGAGGCCGCCGCGAGCCGTCATCAATGCCTACCAGTATCTCGACAGCCTCCCAGCCACCTATGTGGACCCCCAAAAACTGCACCAGGAGGACCTCGTGGACCCGGAAGCCTACTACGTGAGCGAGGGCACCTACCACGCCCTGCGCGCCCTGCTGCTCAAGACGGAAGCCCACGTGCTGCGCGTGCTCGGCTTCGACACGCACGTCGCCCTGCCCTACACGCTGGTCATCAACTACCTGCAGGCGCTGGGCGTCGTCTTCGACGACGGCGACGGCGACGGCACCGAGCTCGCGCGCCGCGCCTTCGCCCTGCTCAACACCGCCCTGCTGAGCCCGCAGCTGGTGTGCTGCACCCACCAGCCGCCGCAGCTCGCCACCGCCGCCGTCTACCTCGCCGCGCGCGACGTTGGCGTCAAGCTGCCCGGCGAGCCGTGGTGGGAGGTCTTCGACACGGACCGCGAGGAGCTCGGCTTCCTCGTCGTCGCCATGGTCAGCATGCCTGGCTTCGCCGCCGAGGAGAAGGCCAAGTGGGGGACCCGCCGCAGGGTGCCGCTGACGCTCGAGGAGCTCGACGCCGAGCTGGAGCGCCGGCGGATGCTCGAAGAGGGCCAATGAATGATGATGGCGCGATCGTGATTGGTGATTGCCGATGATTCTCACTACCCGAAGGAGAAACTCGAAACGAGATGTGCAAGATATGCGAGATTGGAACGAGAAGACGAACGTCCCGGAATGCCAAGCGGCCGACCACTCAAACCCCCTCCCAAGAATGTTCGTGATCGCTTCCGGAGGAACAGTGCGTGCCTCTGCCCCTAAAATTGTCCATGGGATCTGCTTTCCGTAACATTGTGTTGCGACCCAGTTTGGCCAGTTTTTGTGGAGCCGAGGCCAAAATGGTGAGCTGGCGGCGTGTCGTCGGCATAATGCCTCAGTTTTTAAAGGAGGCTCATTATTGTACAGTCAGGCCGGCTATGTACTGCGCTGTCAATGCCCCGATGGAAACCCATCCGTGCGAGCTTGGGGCCCGGGAGGTGGTCTCAGGGGAGCGAAGAAGCTTGATAGAGGAGGTACATGATAGCAATGCAACGGTCATCATTTCAAGCAACGACACTGAATCAAAAGATTTCCCAAGTCCCATCTATGCTGCCTCCCCCTCTTCTATCCTCACTCATTTACCACCTTGCCTCGTCCGCGCTGGCGGAATTCTTCAGCTTCGGTCAGAACTGCTTGAGGAGTCGGGAATTGCAGGAATGCACGGGCCGGTCCGTCTGGCTCGAGCGTTTTTCCAGCACTTCTGCCACTGTCAAACATGCCAAACGTTTCTCAAACACGATCGTCGCAAGGACGACTGCACTCGGTTTTGCTCTGGAACGTGAGTCAAAACACATGAAAGCTTCAAGATACGGAGAAGCATATAGCTTCGCGCGGTAATACTATATTGCGCGAGTCATCGTAACAGTTTAAGCTTCTCTCTGGCGGATGCTTGCCGGCTGCCGTTGGCCTCGGCATATATAAGCTTAGATGACTGCTTTTAGAGTTTTGGTTGGCGCTGCTTCCCGCAATCAGGGTGGAGCTTCATTCAGATAAGTACGGGTCAAAGCTGTCCGGCTCTTCGCCTTTGCTCGAGGAATACAGTTACCCACTACTTATCGTTTTTGTTGGCTTTTGCCATCATTCTTTCGATACCCGACGATATTCGGCCAGAGCTCTACAGCCCCTCGATTCTTCGATGTTATGGGCTGTCCTCGTTGTGCATATTCCAGCGCTATATGCGTGTGCAAATTTGCAAATGACAGTCTCCACCGCCCGCAAGGAGGAATAAATAAAAACCTGGCACGTGTTTTAACAGAGTGGATGCGACGGTATGCTAGTCCCATTTCTGCTGAAATCCAGGTATGGGCTACTATATAATGCCCTCATCTCTATCTTTTGCTCTTCTTAACGCGCCATACTGTTTCTTTTCCACTAAGCGATTTAGGTCCGCCTCGCCACTCTTCCCTTGTCTTTGCTTCTCCTCGAAGCCTCGCTTCCAACCCTAAAGTCTCCCCCTCTCGCTCTTATGTCAGAGCTTAATGCAGCGCTTGATGACTTTCATCACCAATAGCATGGCTGCATTACTCAGTGCTTGAAGTCATTCTTAAGCTTAAATGATGCGTGTCTTCAATTTGTATCACTGCAAATTCATCTCGACCCGTCTGCCGCAGTCCATAAAACTTTGACTTAAACCATTGTCCCCGACACGAAGGAAAAGTATTGTAATCGTGGTAGGGTCCTTATTCTTTTGCAGATAGGACCTCGGAGTGTATTTGTCTGCTTGGTGTAAATGACAGTTTGGGTTTGAGAATGATTATATATATGACCTCATGGTGCATTGACTGATACGGAAATCCTCGTGACGACAATTATCCCGGAACCACCAGTCGGAATAAGACCACATGCAGTAGACAGCATCCGGTGCTGCATTCGGTGTAGCGCAAAAGAACATACTCGGTACATACTCTTCTTCGCTTCCATTACAGCCAATGCCGCCTGAGAATGACCCACACGAGCAGTTTTGAGGCTGGATATGTCGTAACTTAGCTCCGTGGCACCGCCGTCAAGAAACAAGAAAGGACAATAGCCATATCACAATGTGTCTCGAACACTCTCAAATCACCTCTCAGACATCAACTTACTTTCCGGCTCCCACATTGATGTCAAGCCAAAAAAAAAAAGAAAAAAAAAGAAGTAATACCACCAACAAGTACCCGTACTCAACCACATCATCAACAGCCAACAGTGCGCTGCATCATCGTCACCACAACAACCAAAATCATCACTACGGTCACCGCAACGACTACCCACCATCGCTCGGCGCACACAAAGTACGGTGGAATACATGATGTTCTGCACCCCAACCCACCGCTCTGCTCTCCCTTTGCCAAAGACAAAAAGCCTGTATCCATGGGAAGATCAGCGCCGCGATTAAATATTGCCGAAAAGATGTACCGATTCCGCATTCTTCAGCGAGTCACAAGGCCTGTGTGGAGAGCCGAACGCAACGGCACGTGTAAGAGGAACGTCAGAAAGAAGAAACGAAAAAAAAATGAAGCGCAATGTGCCGCCAGCAGCTGACAGCCTGACGCATGCATTGTCACAAACTCTTCGTTCGCCTTCACTGCCGCAAGAACAGCCAGGCAGACAACATTGAGCAACGTTTAGGATGAGAGCTAGCCAAGCGTGGAGCAAGGCCGAAAAAAAAGAAAGAAAAAAAATTCAAGGTTTGCAGAGACACGGACAGACGCCTTGCACCGCCAGCACAAAACACAATCGACTCTGTGGTAGTAAGTAACCTTGGGACCCAGGGCGGGGCATTGAACAAAAGTCGTGCGTGCGTGCATATGGTGTTTGTGTGTGTATGTTTAAAAGGTGCGTATGTTATATCCGGCTCTCTAATTCCATTTCCCCACCCTCCCGCGTCATCCATCCCAGCTCATCCGCCCGCCCATCATGGCCTCATCTTTCAGTCCTCTTGCGCTCTCTCTCTCTCTCTCTCTCTCTCTCTTTCTCTCTCTACCCCTCTCTACCTTTCTCTCCTCCCCCTCCTCTCTCGACACACAGTGAACGACTGCAGGAAGTGACTTCTCTCCTCCCCTCCCCTCTCCTTTCCTTCGTCGTCACCAATCCATCCACCCCGCATCACCTCCTTGATATCACAGCAAAGTAAGCACATCGGTAACCCCATCATCTCCCTCTCCCACCACCTCTCTCATCATCGACTGAACTAAAAGAGAAACGCAAAAACCACCCCCACATCTACACCAATCCACCGCATTCGCTTCCCCCCATGAATCCAAGTTCGTATGGCATGCATGGGCGGGGGGAGGATTCACAGAACAATTCTCCAACAACAACGTTTGGAACAAAAACAAAACGACAATCCATTAAACCACTACGAGCCGCTCTCTCTCTCTCTCTCCTCTCACTTCGGTTGCGTCACGACGCCCTCGTACTCTCTCGACGAGATGTAATCGATAGTGCGCTGGAAATGCTTGCGGGGGTTCTCCAGGCTGGCCGTGTTCTCGTTGGTGTTGAGGTTCGAATGGATGAGCTCGATGAGGCCGTTGAGATACTTGGTGGTCACCTGTACACAGAAACAAAAAAGTCAACGATCACGCCCTTGTCGAGAACATAGTCTTTGAAATAAACGGAGAGGGTGAAAGGGGACTTACCGCTTCATTTTCCTGGTCGAAGTAGTAGACATAGCGGTTGAGAATCTCAACGAAGAGTTCGACGCTGACCGCCGCGTCCATGCACGCATCGGCCACCCGCAACGCGCGCTGCAAGCACTCGAGCACACGCTTGCCATCGCGGTAGAGCTGCTTCTCGTTAGCATTCGAACCATGGGGCGAGTGCCGTCGAACAGCTGATATACTTACATCCTTGGCATCTTCCTCGTTGCGAGCCCGGATCTCAGTCGCCCACCACAAGTGACTCGCCAAGTACACGGCACGGCACTGGTCCGGCTTCTTGAGCAGCTTGCTACCATGCAGGGCGCACTTCGTGATGAGGGTGTCGTAGTTGTCCCTGCTGAAATTTCTAGACATGTGCAGGCCGCCGGCGATGATGCAAACGGCCTGAAACTGCGCGCGGCTGTCGCTGATGGCCTCTTCGTATATGGTGAAAGCCTGTGCGTAGAACTCGTACGCGATCTCTTCGTGGCCAGTCTGGTCGGCGACCTGACCGCAGGCTACGAACAGCCGTAGTGACAGATCAGCTGCACCCGCGACACGGGCGTAGAGAGTGCTAAGGAGAGAGTGGGCAAACTTGTAGAGTGCCGATGATTGAGAGTTCCAGTTGTCGTCGAAATGCTCGCGTGTCTTGAATTTCCTCGCGAGCTTGAGAGATGAAGTAATGAGTGCAGGTGTGGTGTATTTGACGCGCTCGTTGCCATCGCTGAATGCCTTGCGAGCTGCTTGGAGGAGCTTGAATTGGGTATCATTGTCGGTTCCTTGAATGAGGTGCACTATCCGTGCCAGCCATCCCTGTTCTTCAATCGTTTCGTCCGTCTCCATGCCCTTCCGCTGCAGAGGACCACCAGGGTAGCCGGTGGGTTGTTGTGCGCCCTCCTTGATGAGGACCTTGAGGATCTCCAGCACAGACTCCAGGTTCTCCACGGATGTGATTTTAGTTGAATTCCTGAGCAAGCTTCGCGCAACCTCGCCAGCGACTGCTCGTCTGGTGGGATAGGGTTGAGAGTGCAGAAGCGGTACAAAGTTGGGGAGCGCGAGTGCGGTAAATAGAGAAAGATATGCCTTGAGAGGCGCCAGAAGAAGGTTGAGGATGTTGGATTGAGAAGCTTGCGAGTGAAGGTCGGCGCTGTTAGCATATTGCGCGACTCTCTCGTTAGCAAAATCAAGAACGCGATCGACATAGTCCAGGCGTTCCGGATAGATGCTTAATGCAAGGTTTGCGAGAGAAACGAGAAGAGCAATGGTATCTTGGATGGGCAGACGTGCCATCTTGACCAGCGCAGCGACTTGCTCGTAGAAGATCTCGAAGAGCTTGACGTTCTCCGGGATGCCACGGTGCTTCTTGACTTCGCCGTCAACAGCCGTGGCTTCGGTCTCGGCTGTCGCCTCAGACGGAGCGACTGTGGTGGATTCTGAAGGAGCAATGGATGCGTCTTCACCCTCATGCTCCGACTCGCCGTTTTCGCTGTTCTCGCCATTTGGCTGCGTCGACGATTCCGTATCCTTTGCCTCCTTCGATATCCGCAGCTGCTCAAGAAGCTTGGTACAAGCTTCCTCCTCGATCTGTTTCCGCTGTTCGGGTGTCTCGGCATCGGCTTCTCGGCCAGCATACGCAGATAGCCTGTCCATCAAGCTGATAACGATGGCCTTGACGTTGACGTGGGGATTGAGTCTGGCGGTGGCGGAGAGGAATTGGTCGAGGGTGTGGAGGTGGAATTCGTCGGGGAAGACCTGGATAATAACTTCTGGCCAGTTAGCGCGAGAATCAGTGCCATTTTGAAGATGCCAACCCACCGTCAAGCAGGTACTCTTGCGCGAGAACATCCCGACACTGCACGACCTGCTCAAGGAGTGGACCCAGGATCTTCTTGTAGTTCTCCAAGTCGACCAGCTGGCTCAGGCGGACCAGATTGCTCCCGACCAACAACTGCAGCTCCTGTCTTTCCTTGGTCCGCTGCTCCCGTTCCCGCGAATGACCCTGGTGTTGCAGCCGCACCCAAAGCTTGTTCATCTCGACGAAGTTGGTAAGAATGAAGCTGATAGAATCCTGTAGGTTGCCCTCGGGGCCATCGCCATCGCCGGTGGGAAGGCAGTCGCGGGACTGGCCGGAGAGGTAGTAACGCAGGAACAGGCCGCGAATGGGGTGTTGCACACCGCGGCTCATCTCCATCATGTCCTTCATGATCTCCTTGACGGGCGCGTCTTCAATGGCCATGTACACGGTGCCGACGGTGATCATGAGGTACAGACGCGGGATGATGTTGCCGGCATACTGGACCAGCTCGTACAGGTCGGCGAGGTGGTTGACGGGGTGGTTGTCGCGGAGGTAGACGGAGAGATAGCGCAGCGCATCGAAGACGGCCATGTACAGCTCATAGTATTGCTTGGGGCCGAGGCTGCTGGTGCGTAGTTCCGAGACGAGGGTCGAGCTGCAGGCGAATGCGGTCAGCAAGGAGCTATGGCAAAGATGCGGGGCGGGGGGAGGGGCCTGTTACCAGCACTTGAGCGCGTCCATCAGCTTCCCCGGCGTCTCCAGGCATCGCCGCATGAGCATCGTCTGCTGGCGCACCACGCCCAGGGCATCCTCCAGCAGGCGCGACTGGTCTTCCACGGGCGGAGGCGACGCCATTGCTGCGATCGAGGGATGGTGGCGTGTGACTGGTGGATGATGTCGTGGGTGTCGGCCTTGGTGCTGGCGATGCCGTTCGGTTGGCGACGTCGTCCCCTCGAACTGTGGCTGTGATTGGCGGTGCGTCGAGGCCCTTGCCCGCTGCGCCAGGTCACCCACCAACATGGGCGGCGTTCCACGGCTTCGCATGCGCATCGACTGCATTATTTTGGTATAGCTGGATCGATTTGCCTGCTCTACAGTATGTACTCAGATCTCAGAAGCTCCGCGCTGCGCCAAACACCTGCCACACACCTGCCAAACCCATCTCTCTCGCTGGGCAGCCACGGCGCTGCGCCACGCTTTCCCAAAACAGAAAGTCTAATCCTGGCAATCATGCTGCTATGTCCATGTCATCATGCCACAGCCCGGCCGTCAGTCATCCATCGTAGCAAGCACCTGCGTATTAAAGCTTTTACAGTCTAACGGTAGGCTCAAGAAGTGAAAAATTGGTAGATAAAGTCAAACAAGAGAAGAGAATTCGCCACTTCAGCGCATTCTGTCGCATGAGCCACGACCGAAGCACGCCCAACATGATGAGTAATGGCGGCCTCCAGCAAGTCCGGCAGCTGGATTATAAGATGGATGAGGTCGTGAAATCTATGACGGAGTGGTCGTCGTAAAGGTTTTGACGGCATATGACGTGTGCCACATGCCATTGTCGTAGTATGAAGTCGTGTCCGACTGTGTTGCAGTGACCGTAATCACCGATGGGGGAAGCGTCACAACGCTCGGCGGAATAGTGGTCGTGGATGTGGTTGATTCAGTCTCCGTGGCCGTGGAAGATGCGAAGATGGTGGTCGTGTAGACTACGGTCTGGGTGACCGACGGCGCTGGAGTCCGCGTCTCCGTCACAACCAGGGTCGTATCTTTGGTGTGGATAACCGTCTCAGTAGGTGAGACTGTTGTTGGTTTGTCGACGGTTTTTGTAAGAGTGACCGACGACGGCGCTTCCGAGGTGGTCGGTGAGCCTCCATCCACATTGACCACAGAGTAGGACTTTGCCGGTGCTCTGCGATGGAGTTCTTGTGCGTTGCTCCCGCCGTCTGCGTTGGATGTGCCATCGACGTTGACGACAGCATACGACCGCGACTTGGCGGGCGCTCGGGCGTCATTGCTCTGGCTGTTGACTGCTTCGAAAGGCAGGGCTGATGTGAGCCCGACGGCGAGCAAGCCCAGGCAGGCGAATCGGATGGGAGAGCGCATGATCACTAGTGGCAGTGGACAGTGCGAAGGTTTGCTTTCGGCGGTGTAGATCGAGTAAAGATGGACGAAGATAGTAAGAGGAGGATGCTAGGTTTGTCGATCTTGTGCGTGCTCGAGAAATGTGGAGATGATGAAGGCTTCGTGCATGCAGAACAAAGCAAAGTGCAGAAGAACGTGCGAAGTTCCCCAAGATGCATTCCCGCCATCTTCGTTGGGGATTTGGGAGGCTGGGAGGCTGGTATGGCGGGTGGCTGGCAACCGCCTGAGCGAGGCTGGGGTCGTAAACAAATCCCGGCGCTGTGCTTCGCTTATTCCCGACACTAAGCCCTACCACCCACCGACTCCGGGACCTTCACATGCCGCAACATCACTTTGCGCAAGTACCAGCTTGGGAGAGGACTACCTCTCTGCTGTTATGTGAGTTGCTAAATAAACACCCGCTCAAGTTTTTAGATGCCAGTGGCAACGGTAGTCGCGCCAACAAGCCTGCCAAGACGCACAGGCATGTTATGATGTCACTTCTTGCCGTGTTGCTCTGAAGTAGCGAAGCAACAAAGCTAGCTCTACGCAAACCACACATCATATTGCATTCGTCTTGGCAGCTCGGCTATGCAAGAGGATTCATCCTCAGTAGTCGTAAAATCCCTTGCCACTCTTCTTTCCGAGCCAGCCGGCATCAACCATCTTTCTCAGCAGTACAGCGGGCCGGTATTTGCTGTCGCCAGTCTCTTCATACAAGACCCTCATGATTGCCAAGCAGGTATCAATTCCGATGAAGTCGGCGAGTTGTAGCGGGCCCATTGGGACATTTGTCCCGTTCTTCATGATTGCGTCAATGTCCTCCTTTGCTCCGACACCAGTTTCCAAGCAGATGATAGCCTCATTGATGTAAGGCATCAGGATCCGGTTGGCAAGGAAGCCAGGGGAATCTGCTGATTGTGACGGAATCTTGCCCATCTTCTTGCACAGCTCAATGGCAGTATCGATGGTGTCCTGAGAGGTTTGTAGACCGGTAATAATCTCCACTCCCTTCTGTATCGGCACCGGATTCATGAAATGGGTGCTTATGACGCGCGAGGGACCGGACAGGTCTTTTGGATCTTTGGTCGTGGCGGCTGCGATTTTCGTGATCGAGATCGAGGACGTGTTTGTGGCCAGGATGGCATGCGAAGGGCAAACCTGTGCGAGCTGGGCGAATATCTTCGTCTTGAGGTCTGGGATTTCCTAGGCGATTGTGAGAATCCAAAGTTCAGGAACCCGGAATCCGATTGATGGTCACTCACAGGGACAGCCTCAATGACAAAATCGACATCAGAAAGATCGTCCAAAGTGGTACTCGAAGTCAAGCGCTCTCGCGCTGCTGTGGCATCCTGTTGAGAGATTCTCTGCTTTCCGACATCCTTCTCGAGCAACTTGTCTGGTATTCGCGTCAGGCCTGGAACTGATTGTGGGTATGTCGTGCTGAAGCAGTACCGGCAAACTTCAAGCCCTTGTCGATGGAAGCTTGAGAGGTATCGATGACTTTGACAGGAATTTGGGCCTTCTGTGCCGCGACGAGTGCAATCCCAAGACCCTATATGATGACAGTCAGTGTGGTAGCAATTGAAGGAGAGAAAGTTCAACACTGACCATTTGGCCCGCACCGAGCACACCAAGCTTCTTAACCTCGGCAGCAGCAGCTATCGAGGGAGTGGAGCTGAAGCTGCGCAGCTGCGCAAAAGTCGTGCAGCGCGCCGCATAGCGTGTTGCTGCAAAGAGAGACATGGTGCAGTAAGGAGAGCTGCAAGATGTTGAGGAGGGGTGAACGGAGGTGGAGGGGTTCCCCAGAACAGCGGCCGGGGAAGCCTGCGGCATGTGAGCAGGCCGATGGCAGCCGTCACCGTCACCTCGGCTTAACGCATGCTGCACGGACCGTTTGGTGTCGTGGCGCTGAGACGCGTTCCAACGCGCTAGTCGTCCGGTCGCGTCGCCCGACACGGCCACCAATTCGCGTTTGCGAGATGTGCTGAGCGCCGACGCAGGAATCCCACCAGCGACCACAACCATGAGTCTCGACGACTGGGTCTCGCGCGACACTGTCGATGCCGAAGTTCGCGCGCACATATACAGTCTCGTCTCAGCGGTAGGTCCGCAATTTACCCCAGCAGAGGCAAGCTACTAACCCTCGACAGGTCGGTGGCTCCAGTATCGAGTTTGAGGCCCGCTATGTACTTGGAGACGATGCACTTGCCTGTTTGAAAGATATCCGCCGGTGGTTGCGGCTATACGACCAACGATTGAACCGACATGATGTGGCGAGATGCTTGGCTGAGGCAGATGTGGTGAAGGGAGACCTTTGCGAAATCCTGGCACTATGGACCGAACAGCGGGCAAACGACTCTCTCAAGCGCAAGGCCGCTCTGGCCTCTAGTAAGTGTCTCGCCCAATGCTCTGCCGGAGTAAGCTGACTCTTGTAGTGGAGGTGCTGGTCCCAATTACCTGGCCTCTGCAGCTCGATCAGGACGAAGCCACTGTTAATCACCATCGCCACATCCCCTACCTGCAGCTCGCGCAAACCAAATACAAGCGGGTTGTAATGCAGCATCATTCCAAAATCCTCCGCACCGCAGTACGATTGGCCCTCCCTTCCATGGCAGAGCCCCGACGAGAGAGAAGTAGTCGCGATAACGGCATCATCTCGATCATACTTTACTTTCTCCGAAACATCGCCCTCATCACACACCCTCCGAACCTCCCCGAAGACGATAACGAGGCGGAGATCTCTCGATCGGCTACAATCGATGCATTTCACTACCAAGATATATTCCAGCTGCTGCTCACAGTGGCCTCAAGTATTGGAGACGAATTCGTCGATCAGGACGTTATAGTGCTCGAGATCTTGTTCCATCTGCTGAAGGGCATCGACGTTGAGAAGCTCTTCATGGAGGAGGAGAAGCTGGCCAGCTCTAACACCAATGAATTGAGGGACCTGATTCAGAAGGAAAAAGCGATGCTTGCAGGGTATGCGAAGCACGCACCAACAAGACACAACCGCTTTGGGACAATGATTTGGGTCAAGAGAGATGACGAAAAAGTGTCCACGGTGTCGGGGCAAGATGTACTTGCGAGCAGCGAGAGGAGCATGCAAAAGATGGACAAATCCAAAAAATGGAATAGGCCAAAGTACACCGGAAAAAAGAAGAACGATCTTCCACTGGACGAATTCGACAAGAAGGTTCCGCTTGACAAGTCCGCACGGAGACACCTTAAGACGTTCGTCGAAGAGTTCCTGGATTCATCTTTCAACCCTTTGTTCACTCATCTAAGAAAGGCCATCGAAAATGAGGCTGATCGTGTGCTCACGGAGACGCATCCAAGACAGTTTTGCTACCTGATTTCGTGGTTCCTGCAAGCCGAGTGTGCGCGTCGTGCGAAGGCCAAGAAGGCCGCTCAGAACAAGGATTCTGCAGCCACCGTTGCAGAAGATGAAAGCTTCGCTTTGATCGCTTCGGTAATGAACCAGGAGACCTTCATCCTCTTGAACAGATTCATGCAGCTCAGTCTGGATAGCAAGTCATGGCAGGACTTGAATGCAGCCATGAAATGCTTCACGCAAATCCTCCAGACAGTGCAGGAAATGTCCGAGTCCAGCCTGGAGGACGACCAGGAGATTGCCGAGAACATCTTAAACCGCATCTTCTACGAGGAGACCACCCACGACCGAATAGTTACATTACTACGCAGCTACAAGGACCAAGGACTCGGCTACTTGGACGCTTGTACTGAGCTGACCCACGTCTTCATACGAATGCTTGAACGTTATTCGAAGCAGAATGTTGATCTCCAAGTTCGAAGCCGTAGACGAGCTCGTAAAAAGGCCAAAGCGGTCGCGCAAGCCAACGGTGATGGGGAGGTCGAGGATCAAGGTAACGGAGAAGATGATGTCGTCGCAGCTCACCGGGCAACTTCCGAGAGGAAGTTCGACTTTGCTCGGTTTCAAGCTCGTTTCACAACCCAGGGCTGCATCGATACTTTCGTGGCCTTCACTCGGTACTACAACGATTTGAGCGTCGAACAATTGAAACGCGCCCATCGCTTCTTTTATCGAGTCGCTTTCAAGCTGGAGATGGGGATCATGCTATACCGTGCCGACATCATTGCTCTGTTCAACAAGATGATCAAAGGTCCCGAGGGTCTTGACAAATCTCTTCCCATTTCCAAGGAGTGGGAAGAGCTTGTGAAGCAGGTCTTCCGCCGTTGTATCAAGAAAGTCCAGGAACGTCCAGAGCTCATTGTGGAGATGCTTTTCAGCAAGATCCCGGCAACTGTTTATTATCTCGAGCATGGTCACGACAAGGAAGTCACCACGAGAATACCAAGACCACCGGCTGAACTTGAGGTCAAGGGAAACCTGGAAAAGGACAAGCAAATTGGAGTTGCTGTATCACTTCTCATCAACCAGAACAAGTCTGAACATTTGGCATGGGTCAAGAAAACCCTGTCATCTGCGGCTGAAGAGCGGAGTGCGTGGGAGCAAGATCAAGCAACTCGCAAGGCTATGACGGAATTCTCTGCGGACCAGGCTGTCCCTTCGACAGAGGACGATGGTGCTCCGTCCATCACCGTGAGGCCAGACAACGAGGAGCGCCGCATTGCCTTATTCAAGGACAACAAACTGCGGTTACTTCTCAAGATTCTCGGGTTCATAAGGGTGGGTCTCGACGAAGACCGAGATGCTAGCTGGATCATTCCCCCCTCTCTCACCTCTGAAGAGCTTCAACAGAGTGCGCAAGCCATTCAACAAACAGAATGGGAGCCCCCAAGCTTTGACGAAGACAAGTCGGCCGAGGACATGGTCCGCACGAAGCGGCAACACGTTGCTCTTCGCGGTGATACTGATGATGAGGACGATGACGTCCCTGATGCCCTGGACGACGAAGAACTTTTCCCGGCAGGCGGCCCAACTGCCCGTCGGTCTGACGCTTTGAAAGAGCTCAAGAAGAAGAGGACCCGAAACAAGAGGACGGCGAGCGAAGAACCGGACGATGAAGAGAAGGAAAGGAAGAAAGAAGCACGCCGACAAAGGGAACTGGAGAAGAGGCGGAAAATCAAGAGCGAACTATTCGTCCACTCATCAGATGAGGATACAGACGAGGAAGCAGACAGAGAGTTCTTCGCTGCCGAGGAGGAGAGAAGGAAGAAGACGGCGGGCAAGATTGTCCGGGCCCTCATCAGCGCTCAGATTCACGACACAGCAAGCAAAAAGAGGAAGTCGACGGCAGCAAACAAAAAGAGCAGGAAGAAGCAAAAGGGATCTGGAACTGGATCTGACAGTGAAGATGCCGGTACCGGGCTGGACAGTCGTTCGTCGTCGGAAGAACCTGTCAGCCGGCTCAGGATCGTTAGCGATGACGAGGAAGAGTCTGATACACCCCTGTCGTCTCAGCATGCGGCGAAAGACACTGCCAGGGAAAAGTTTGCGGAGGCGCAGGCGACTACAGAGAAGACCACGCGAGATGTGGAGATGCAGGAAGGCGATGACGAGGAGGATGAGGGCGTTCCAGCCCGCAGGCCCGTGCGCAGGAGGAACATCCGCGCAGGTTTCTTGATTGACAGTGATGAGTCGGAGTAGTGGAACACTAGGGATTCACTAGTAGGCGAGATTGGCGTTACGCGGGGGCTCACATGGCAAGGTGGCCTTATAAGCGGGGTAAAGTTGGGCGTTCGAGTAGGGTCCAGCCATGGCAGCATGCGATGGGATTTTTAGCGGCAATGGGGTACGTAGCCCAATCCGTGTTCCGACTTTTCCGGTCTGACCAAGGCGTGGGATGGGAGAGCAAGACAGGCAAAGATTGCGATGACGCTCAATTACGTTCAGCTGTGCTTGGCTCGGGTTGACAGGGTCCGCAAACGGGGTGGCGGCCGGGAAGGCGACAGGACCAAAATTATTATCCTCCGGCAGGCACTCCACAATTTTGATAGGTATTGCAGCAGCCGGGGCTCGGGCGCGGGGCTGCACCGCCTCATGGGGCGGCATGGTTGCGTGCTCCCGCGATTGCCATGGCCAGGGCACGCTATTATGATACTAGCCTTACGCCATAGCTGCCGCGCAGCGTGTGGCACGAGCGCCGCACCTTTTCCGAATCCTGTTATTATTCCTTGCGTCGCATCTGGTTTGGCGCTGGCAGGTGCGTAACCCGCCGATCCGGTCCAGAACAGGCTGACGGGCGCGCCACGCCGTGATGTCACTGGTCGCGGACGTGCGCTGGGCGGGGCCCCGATGCAGGTGCGATCGGCAGGTCAAGCTTCTCCAGCCACTCCCTAGCCGTCGCTTCCGTGCGCGCTGTGGCGCACGTTTGACGCTTGTCTGCCATCTCCAACATGCACTTGCGTTGACGTCAGGCGCGCTCCTGCCGCATAAATACATCTATTCTGCGCCGTCCAGAGCTCCCATCTTCCATCAATCCAACACCTCTCAACCACTCTACAACTCCTTCACAACCTCTCTCTTCTACAACCACCTTTGAGATACCCTTGATTTCAGTAATCCTCAACACCACAATCATGTCCCACCACACTGGCGAGTCTACCGGCAGCGGCCTCAGGGGTGCCGCCGGCGCTGTTCATGGTAAGCTCACCTCTCTCACCCTGTCCTCACCCTCCACCAACCCGCCTTAGGTCTTGGAGAGACGATTCGCGGCACCATAAACACTGCAGCCGACACTGCAGTTGGTAGCGACGCCTCCAAGAACCAGGCCATCAGAGACCGCGGCGTGGACGAGATCAACACGGGCCGCTACCATGGCACCGGTGCTGGTGTAACTCCCGCCGACACGGCCGCTGAGCGTCACAACCGCGCCGCCCAGGGCGAGTATCCCAGCACAACATCGACTGGTGCTACTGGCCTGGGCAGCAGCACTCACAGTACGCGTTGATCTCTCCATCAGCTGCACTTTGTACATACCATCATCACAATATACAACGTCTTCATTTTCTTGAAGAGCAGAATAATAACATTCGTGTCTCAGACCCTACCACCACCCACACTGGAGCCTACGACACCACTGGCACCACCGGCCACACCGGCCACACCGGTCACACCGGTCACACCGGCCACACCGGCCACACTGGTTCCGGCTACGCTGCCCCTGGCGAATATGGCCACCCCTCGTCGACAAACGCTGGCCCTCACAGCTCAAACATTGCCAACAGTGCCGACCCTCGTGTAGACTCTGATCTTGACAGCCATCGTCACGCTGGTTCCACTACCGGTGCTGGCTACGGTCACTCTGGCTCCACCACTGGTGGTGCTGGCTACGGCAACACTACCGGTACTGGCCACGGTCACTCTGGCACTACGGGCTCTCACTCTCAATATGAGGACCCTCGCTCTACCAACTCTGGTCCTCACGGCTCGAACGTTGCCAACAAGGCCGACCCTCGTGTCGACTCTGATCGCGACAACCGTGAGCACCGCCGCGGCAGCGCAGCCACCGCTGGCCTGCAACCCACCGGTGGCCTGAGCGGTGGCACCAGCCGTCAGGACCTTGAGGGCATCGACCCCACCGACATCAAGGGCGGCTACACCACCGCCGAGACCACCACCGGCCACAGCGGCCATGGCGGAAACACTGGCTTGCACGGCGCCCACGAGTCGCACGTCGGCAACAACCCCGACTCCAACAGCCACGGCCCTCACGGCTCAAAGATCGCCAACAAGCTCGACCCCCGCGTTGACTCGGATGCCGACAACCGTGCTCGCACTGGCAACCAGACCGGTGCTGTTGCTGGTCCCCACGGCTCGAACCTGGCCAACAAGGCTGACCCCCGTGTCGACTCCGACCTTGACAACCGCGCCCACCACCCCGGTGCTGGTACCACCAACACTCATGGCTCGACCGCTGGTCACAACACCTACGGCTCGACTACCGGTCCCACCGGCACGCACGGTTCGACTGGTTACGGCAACACGTCGACGAACCACGGCACTCACGACTCCAACATTGCCAACAAGGCTGACCCGCGCTTCGACTCGGACCGTGACGGTCGTGCTCACCACGACACCACTGGCACGTACGGCTCGACCACCGGTCCTACCGGCACGCACGGCTCGACTGGTTACGGCAACACGTCGACGAACCACGGCCCCCACGACTCCAACATCGCCAACAAGGCCGACCCGCGCTTCGACTCGGACCGTGATGGTCGTGCTCACCACAACACCACCGGTACGCACGGCTCGACGGGCTATGGCAACACTTCGACCAACCACGGTACCCATGACTCCAATGTCGCCAACAAGGCCGATCCCCGTTTCGACTCGGACCGCGACAACCGCGCCCACCACGACACCACTGGCGCTCACGGCGTCCACGGTGATGACCACACCACCTCCAAGCACGCCAAGAACGACAGTGCCACCAACACGACGGAGTCCCACCCCAGCCACGGCACTGGCTTCGTTGGCAAGGTTCTCGACAAGGTTGATCCCCGCGTCAAGAATGCTTAAATGCACCTCTGGGCTCATGAGCTTATGATGACTGTACGACTTTTGATTACGGACGATTGAAAATGAGGCGGCCTCAGGCCTAAGTAGTTGTAATACCCCATTGCCTAGGTAGCTCAATTAATGAAGTATGATACCAATTACTAGAGTGTCGGTGTTTATGCTATGTGAAATATGATTGATACGTGAAGAATCGGACTCGATAGATTGAAGCTAACGTTTGATGACCAGAACTAGGTGGTAAGTTCAGTGTTCGATTCGATTGTTAGGAAATCTCTTCACAAGTCATGAAAGAATCAGACGTGATGGGTCGTCCACGGTAAGGGTTGTCTTGCGATGAATCCTTGCCGTACCGCTCACAGTAGTACCCACAGGGGTTCGAAGGGTCCATTGCTATCGGTTCTAAGTTTACCTTGCGCCTATAATCTTGGAACGTGCTTGATCACCTCGCTATCCCCAAAATCCTCCTCCATCTGGTGAGATATATGGAGGTGGCTCGCATTTCTCAGTGGCAGAAAGTTCTGCGAGACGCAGCGGAACGGCGCGGTGGAGTCAACCAGCAGTCAACTGTTTGAACAGTCTTACACGAACACATCCAATGGCACCTCTGAGAGGACCCAGATCACCCTCCCGTCACGTCGGGAGCCTTGTAGCGCCAAGGCGCCCACGTGCTCATCACACACGGCCGTCGCTCTTTCCATAAAATACTCAACACCTGAACAAAACCTGACCATCTTCTCCTCACCCCGCCGCAGCCGCAACACCAGCCAACCAACCCAACCATGACCGACAAACCCACGAACACCGGGCCCGGCAGCAGCGGCGCCGAGCGCCAACCGATCGGCAGCTTCACCACCCTGCCCTACCGCACTCGCCCACCCGACGTCAACACCACCACCGCCGCCGCCGCCACCGCCCCCGCACCAGCCGGCCGCACCGGCAGCACCGCCGCGAACCAAACGCAACAACCGCACCACCACCACGCCGTCGGCCCTTCCCCCTTCCTCCCGGTCTACAACCTCACCCTGAGCCACCGCCCCCGCCCCCAGCAACAACCCCAGCAACAGCTCCCCGCCGAGACACAGCAAACGCAACAACAACCGCACCACCACCGCCACGCCGTCAGCTACCCTCCCGGCCTCGTCCCCCCCTCCAACCTCACCCCGAGCCACCCCCGCCGCCAGCAACCCCAACAACCCCAGCAACCCCAGTACCTCCCCGACCTCGGCTTCAACCCCGCGACCCATCTCGCGGCGCCTACAACGTCTACGCTTTCGCCTACAGCGCAACCATTCGTCCCCACCGCCCACGACAACAACCGCTACGCCAGTCAGACGACGACGACAACAACAACAACAACGACCACGACCACGACCACGATGCTATCGTCGTCCCAGCCGCCCTGGCTCAACGTCGATACTGGAAGCGTAGACGCAAGCGCAGACGAAAGCGCAGACGCAGACGCAGACGCAGACGCAGACGTAGACGTAGACGCAGACGCGGCCGGTGGTCGAGCTGGTGGTCGAGCTGGTGGTCGAGCTGGTGGTCGAGCTGGCCGTCGCCGGCGCACGGGCAGGCGACGCGGCCGCGCTTACAAGGACCGCGACGCCCCGCCGGCGGCGGCGGCGGATGATCGACAGCGGTATCCTTTGGGCATGGCATCGGCGGCGGGGGTGGTTTATGAGGAGGGGGAGGGGGAGGGGGAGGGGGAGGCGGAGGCGGAGTGGGAGGGGCAGCAGCAGGGTGCGCGGCAGGGACGTGTGCAGCAGGGTGTGCGGCGGGCTCATTTCGACGGGGGGCGTGGAGAGGACGAAGGTAAGTCGAGTCGTGATGATGGATGATGAGACGAGGCGCGCGGCGTGGTGCTGTCTGTAATCTGTATGCATGTCGGTGTGGAAGGGAGGGAGGATGCGAGTCTGATGTGGTGGAGACGAGGAGATTTCGGGGCAGTGCTCTTGAATCTTCGAGGAATTTGACGCTAACGGGGCGTGGTTCTTCGGACACTTGTAGATTCGGAGCTGCCGCTGCAACCGACTAGGAACGAGGCGTTCGAAAGAGTGGCGCGACTCGCCCTGCAGCAGGCCGCGGACGGCTATTCGAGCGAGCATATGACCGTTCGTGCCGTGTTTGAGGCGGCGACGATGCATGGGATCAGTCACTTCGCTGAGGATGCGTGGCGCTTTGCGATGGAGGAGGGCGTGGGGACCGTTGGTGAGTACTGTCCTGCGCCGCTCTTTTTTTCTTTTTTTCTTTTTTTTTTGCCTCAGCTTGAGTTGCTTGTAGGCGATCAGGGTGCTGACATGGAGCGCGTGTAGGCGTTCGTCATCTTGAACGTGCGATGCTGGCTTACCAGGAGAGGACGGCCTGGAAGGTCACTGAGTAGGTGCAGGTCAGGTCATGGTGGGGCGCGGGTTTGATATCGGGCATGGGGAATGGGGCGGTTGCTTTGCGGACTATGGCTCTGAGTCTTCTGAGCTTGTTTGTTCGTGGAGGTTGAAACATTCTTTGGCGAGAGAAAGTGGGCTTTTCAATCATTAACGCACATGGAAGTAGTTGGGTGCTTTGGTCCTCCGTGAGAGCTTTGGCTGTGGTCAACTGCAATATCCCAAGCTCATTCATTTTGGCAAATTCGCATCAAGTGCTTGTGTGAAGTCTTCGTAGAGTTGCTTTTCGGTAGACGCTTCGGCGCTTATGCAGCATTGCATTCTCCAGAACATGACTGTGGTAATGATGATGGGGTGCTTTCAATTGATCACTCGTTCCGCGGACGTGCTGTCAACACGCTATCCTGAATCGGTAACGTCACCAATAAGTACCTCAACTATGCAAATTGACGGAGGAGGCGCCAGGGAGGGACGTGTGAAACGATTTACAAGAGACGCATTATTAAGCGACTCCATGTCACCTATGCTCCAGAAGCGACGAATCCTCTGCCTTTCATGGTAGAATTGTGGCTTCATCCAGAGCGGTAGGGGCGGAAAGCGGCTAGATGTTGCGAACCGTCATGCAGTGAGCCACAAAGGACGCGGCCCGAAGTCATTGGCCAAGTTTATCCAGACGCCACCAAGGCTCCAGACCAAAAGAGATCAACAAGAGTACGAATAATTCTGATCCATCTCAGCTCCAGGCTGCGGGGAGATGACAATGGTGCAAATCACATGTTTTCTTTTTGCAGGTTCCCCGCGCTCCCAAACTCTCTACTGCGGCCGCTTGCGGGGAACGCGGCTCGATCCTCCTATGGCGAGACGGGCCGTACGCGGTCAGCCAGCCACCTAACGCTAATCCGTGATGACTGAGCTGCGTTGTGCGACGTGATAGGCGTCTCACCGTACTTACCGCTTCTCCTACACAGCTATAGAGCCACCGTGTCTGATGCGTCAAAGTCTCAAAGCGGCAAGCCGCTGTGTATGCGGGTACGCGCGACGGGATCTAAATCTTGGGCCCAGCTGAAAATGCTCTTGTCCTGGTTTCCCAAGCGAAGCTGAGCGGGGTACGGACTGCCTACAAAAGAGCTGTCGACCTCAGGAGTCAGCCAGCTTCACTTGCAAACACCATCTGCCTCCCCACTCAATTGAGCTCCCATCCTTTGTAACGGGGCTCATCTCGCGCCAAAAAAAAAAAAAAAAAACACACACACAATTCATCCCGAGTCTCTCGCCCCCAATGGGTTCGCTCGCCCAGGCTCAAGCCGATGGCGTCGTCATCGGCCTCAAAGGCCTCTCGGGCATCCATCCTCGTCGTGAAATCGATGATCTCGTCGTGAACGAGCCCGACATGTTCAATCTGTTCATCCTTGCTCTTGAAAGCCTCCAGAAGGACGAAGGAGCCCATCAGAACAAGATGGGTTACTTCCAAATTGCCGGTCGGTTCCTTTACACGCTTTTCGTCACTTCCGAGCAAACAAACAACGAAGAGCAAGGGCCCGCAACTGACCGCTCTCTCAGGCATCCACGGTCTCCCCAAGCGCGACTGGGATGGCGTTCAAGGCGAAAAGCCCGGCCAAGGCGGCTACTGCACGCACAACTCCATCCTCTTCCCAACCTGGCACCGGCCATACTTGGCCATGTACGAGGCAAGCCACCACTCTCCAGTCCCCCAGAATCTGCCAGCCAAACCCCATCTAACAACCCAAAAAACAAACAGCAAACCATCTACGCGACCATGGAACACATCGCCTCGCAATTCACCGACCCCAAATACCGCGACGCGGCCCGCCGCTTCCGGCTCCCCTACTGGGACTACCTGCACGCGCGCGCCGCGCGCACGACGACCTTCCCGGGCGTCTTCGCCGGGCGCAAGACGTCCTTCGGCTATGACTTCGGGCTGCCGCTGGCGCTGCGGGAAGCCAAGCTGATGGTGCACCGGCCCGCGGGCGTCGACGCCGCGAGCGAGGCGCGGCTGGTGGCCATCGACAACCCGCTGCGCAGCTTCGCGTTCCCGCAGACCAACGGCGTCGCGGCCGACGAGTGGCAGGTGCTCGAGCAGCAGGTGCAGGCCGAGGGGGGCGGGTTTTACCTGTCGCAGCGGCGCACGGCGAGGCATCCGCGCAGCGGGCCGACGGGTGGGGACGACGACTTTGCGGACCTGGATGCGGCGCTGAATAAGGATCGCGAGCCCGAGGTGCAGACGCTGCTGGATCTGATCGAGTTGGCGCCGTATGCGGACTTTGGGAACTTTGCGACGGCGGTGCCGAGCGGCAAGGGAGGGGCTGGCGCGCCGAATGGGTCGTTGGAGAGCTTTCATGGGGCGTATCACGTCTTGATTGGCGGCGCTGGGCACATGTCGAGAGTACCGGTATGTCGTGGTGGTCGGCCATGAGAGGGCGAACGAAGAAGAAGATGAAGAAGAAGAAGCCATCCAGCTGACCTGCCCGGTTGACCAGATTGCGGCGTTTGACCCGATATTCTGGTTCCATCACTGGTAAGTCGTATATCGACGTACCTACAGTCGCTCCCGTCCGTCTCGCAAGACTAGCTCATGAACTCACCCTCCGCCCGCAACCACCAGCAACATCGACCGCATCCTCGCCGTCTGGCAGTCCCTCCACGACGACTTCACGCCCTCCTCCGGCACGCCCAACGCGTCGTCCAACCTCTACCCCTTCCGCAAAGACAGTTCCGGCTCCTCCTTCTGGACCTCGACCGACTCCCGCGACGTCACCACCTTCGGCTACACGTACGCCGACATCGCGGGCGCCACCGACCGCCAGGCCGTGCTCGCCCGCTTCGACGCCTGCTACCGGTGGTCGCTGCAGCGGCAGTCGCGCCAGGGAGGGGCGCAAAACCCCGCGCCGCCCGCCGAGATGCAGCCCGTCGACGTGCGCGGCGCCCAGTGCTTCCGGTACACGGCCGCGGCGACGGTGGGCGCCGCGGTGCAGGCCCCCATGCAGGCGCTGAGTCTCGTGCAGCAGAAGGTGTTGGAGGTCAAGGACCAGGCGGTCAATGCGATTAGCGGCGCGGCGAGGCCGGCGGCGGCGGCGACGGCGAGTGCAGGGCAAGAGGCCGGGACGGAGGGCGGCGCGGTGCAGGTGCAGCCGTCGTTCCGGCGGGGGGACGAGATACTGGCGGAGGAGCCGGCGGGGAGCAGGCTGGTGTTGCAGTGGTATATCGATTCCGAGGTGAACAAGTACGTACTAACGTCGTCTGACATCACTCTCCCTCCCTGGCACCAACATGACTGAGCGCTTACTCATCGCAGAGACGCCCTCGACGGCGCCTTCACGCTCTACTTCTTCATCGGCCCCACGGCCGCGGCCGACACGTCCGAGGCGGGCGACGGGCCGGCGACGTGGCAGGCGGAGCCCACGCTGGCGGGCATGACGCACGTCTTCGCCGCGCCGCGCGCCGCGTGCGACAACTGCGCGCTGCAGAGCGACGAGGGCCTGCGCGTGACGGGCACCACGGCCGTCACGCCCATCCTGCTCGACTACGTCGAGGACGGCCGGGCGGGGCTGGGGAGCCTCGCGCCCGACGACGTGGTGCCGTTTTTGCGGCGCGCGCTGGTGTGGAGGGTTGCGGATGTGAGTTTTTTTGGCCTTGTTTTTCTTTTTCTTTTCCGTTGATTCTTTTTGGGGGGGTGGTGGAGGAGGGATCCATGGGCAAGGGAAAGTGTTTTCTTGCTGACGTCGTCTGTGTGACATCCCAGGTCAACCAACGCGTGACGAACCCGGCGGAGCTGGCTGGCGGCTTGACCATCAGCGTCAGCGCCACCATCTCCGTGCTGCGTCCCGACCAGCCCATCCCGGAGTTCCGCGAGCCGCTCTTCTTCCCCGAGGTCATGGATGGTCGTCCCGCGACGGGCGATCCGGTTGCTGCTTGATCGGTCATGGAGGCCGTGTCATGGTGGACACTGATCAAATGGGAGAGCGGACTCACCTTTTGGCGAAGTTTGTTCGGGGGAGGTTTTGCCCCCTTATTTCTGGCTGGCGGGATAAAAGTAACGACTATTGGAATGGATAACCTAGAAAACAAGAAAGAAATTGTATTCACTTTGGGTCAAAAGCGGCATTGGTACGTGAGGCTGTGCGAATGGTGCTACTAGTAACCAGCCCATCTGACTTCTGTACTAAAAAAACCTTCATGCACCTTGATACCGAGAATCTCTTCTTCTGAACTGGCCCAGTCGTCGGCACTCTGCACTCTGCAGCTGTAACAAGCCACTTTGCAAGCTATTGTTAAGGGAGGTAGGTTAATCTCGGGCTGCCGAGAAAGTCAAGAGATACTGCTGTCACATACCCATTATCGGTAGAGCCGTAATGTTTCGAAACAGTTCAAATAAAAAAAAGGGGGTATCAGATTACAATCTACACACGCTATCTCTCTCTCTCTCTCTCTCTCTCTCTCTTATGACATCTTATCTCATCTCATCATACACATCTCAAGACCCTTTCCTCCTCTCACACCCTTTCCTCCCCACCACCACCGCCACCCAGCCTCCCCTCCTCCCCCTTCCAACTCCCCCTCACCACCCCCTCCCCAACATCGATCCCCCACCTCATCCCCCTCCCCTCCAACACATCCTCCCCGTCTGCCTCCCCGTCCCCACCATCCCCAACCTTCTCCCCTCCCTTCCCCCTAGTCCCAGCCCACCACCCCAACGCCCCACCCCTCCACATACCTCCCCCCCTCTTCCCCTCCTCCTCCTCAACAGCGACGCTGCCCACCCCCCTCCCCCTCAACCCCTCCACCAACCCGCTCCCCGCCAGCAGACTCGCCACCGCCGCGATGCTGCCCGGGCTCTTCGGCAGCACCGCCTCGTTCGGGAAGCGCACGGCGACCCACACGAAGCACGCGAGCATGAGGGCGAGACAGGCCTCGAGGGCGAGCGTGGACGCGAGGTCCTGCGCGATGCGGGACTGCGGGAGGGCGAGGGTGGCGTTGGCGTTGGCGTTGGCGTTGGCGTTGGCGTTGGCGTTGGCAGCAGCTGATGACGACGACGACGAATCACCGCCATACGTCGACGCGTTGAGCGCCCAGGGCCGCAGCTCCGTCAGCATGTTGGTCGTGTAGCTCGTGTAGACGGCGGCGGCGGCTTGGGCGAGGGCGGCGTCGTCGAGCAGGGCCGAGAGGTTGCGCAGGTTGTGCGTGGCGTAGGCGGCGAGCAGCTCGAAGAAGCTGGTGCTGCTGCCGCGCGTGGGCCACAGCGAGGGCGAGTCGAGCAGGCCCGGCGTGTCGGACGACTGGTCGTATTGGTTGTAGTGGTCGCCGGCCTTGGTCTTGGCGAGCGGGGCGAGCCAGTAGGGGGTGTTGGGGATGGTGGAGAGGGTGGAGATGGTGGAGGGGTCGTAGCGGATGGGGTTCCAGGAGGGGGTTGTGGCCGCGGTGGTGTTGGAGTCGGGTGAGGATAGGGTGGTGGAGGAGGTGGAGGACTTGCGGGAGAAGGTGGCGTCGACGGTGATGCGGGTGAGGTTGCGGTAGCAGACGGCGGTGTGCCAGGAGGGGAGGAGGCCTCCGGTGGTGTTGAAGTCCTGGGCGGTGACGTGCTGGGTGACGTTGGAGAAGACGGTGGTGTTGGTGATGTAGGTGGTGATGGGGGTGAAGTCGGCGAGGGAGACGACGTAGCGCTGGTCGTAGCCGATGCTCGTCTCGCCCTGGAAGCGGTTCGTGGCGTTCTGGCAGACGGCCTGCGAGTTGGCCAGCGGGCCGAGGGTGGCCGAGGTCGAGTCGGTGAGGTTCATGGTCTGGTTGCAGGCGGCGGTGGCGCAGTAGGCGCTGAACTGGAAGTACGGCTGGCCGTTGGAGCAGTTCTGGTAGTAGGCGGCGGCGGCCAGCTCGACGTAGCTGCACGTCACGTCGACCTGGATGGCGGGCACGTTGACGGTGATTTCGCCGGCCGACACGTCCAGGCCGTCGGCGTTGGCGAAGTCGCCGAGGCCGGTGAGGTTGCTGAAGACGAGGTTGTCGAGGATGCCGGAGCGCACGGGGATGTCGAAGTCCGGGTTCATGGTCCACTCGGTGAACTGCGAGGCCGTCTGCACGTTGGCGTTGAGGTCCATGGTCATGTTCCAGAGGTAGCCCGACGTGTAGCTGTACGACTCGGCGGCCGTGTCGAGGGCCAGGCCGAACGTGTCTTCGAGGTGGTCGACGAGGCTGGTGTCGACCAGCGGCTGGATGGCGTACGTGGCCTGCACGACGACGACGCCGTAGAGGCCGGCGGTGACGATCTTGACGGCGGGGATGATGAGCACGACGGCCGACGAGGCGGCGACGGCGAGCCCCAGGCCGTTGCGGATGGCGCGGAAGGGGGCCAGCAGGCTGGGGTAGTCCCGGAAGTTGAACAGCAGCGGCTGCTTCTTGGCCGACACGCCCTTCCACAGGCTCTTGTACGGCGCCATGGTGCGCACGGCGCCGTCGAGCCCGGAGCAGGCGTAGCCCAGCAGCAGCAGCACGACCGTGGGCACGAAGGCGAAGGCGTCGGCGACGGTGGGCGTGTCGCGGCAGATGCCGTCGTGGGCGCGCGAGAGGGCCATCAGCACCGCCAGCACCGCCATGACGGCCACCGTCGCCCCAATCACCGCCAGCTTGGCCCACGCCTGCAGCGCCACCGGATGGAAGCCGTCGTGCGAGTTGGTGCCCGGCGCGTGCGAGGGCACGGGGTGCAGCGCCGCGTGCTGGTCCTGCTTGGACGCCTCCAGCATGACGGCGCCGGTGGCCGTGTGCTGCAGCCGCCACGCCTTGGAGGCCAGGACGTGTTCCATCGACGACTCGGACGACACGGCTTCGCGCGCAAACGTCTTCTCCACCGCCTTGGCCGACGCCGCCAGCACGACCGCCTTGGCCGCGATGGACCCGGGATCCTCGCGCAACACCGTCTTGGGTCTCAGCAGCGTGCCCTGGAGAAGGCACACGATGGCGACGACGAGCAGCAGGCCCTGAAGCGCCCGCAGCGCCGCCTGCCGGAGGAACATTTTCGGCCCCGCGGTCCAGAGCCGCCCGTCCACGCTGCCCGTGAGGTTGGTGCGCGCGAGCGAGTTGATCACCTGCGCCATGATGCGGTTTGCCAGCTGCTCCACCGCCGCCTCGTGCTTCTTCGGATGCCCTAGGTACGATCCGATCTCCAGCGCCGCCTGGTCGTTCATGAGCAGCGACGAGAAGGGATCCACGTAGTATGTCTTGATCATGTATCCCGCCGCTGCTGCGACATACGTCAGGTTGGCTTGCGGCTTTGTGTTGAGCGTCCACCCGAGGTAGTTGTTTGCAAAAGCCTCTTGGCTTCGGCCGTCGACCGGGTTGTTCAGGTAGATGTAGAGGGCGTTCATCGATGTCTTGATGTCTACCGGAGTGGGCGCTGCCGACCCCAGCCGGTAGTCGGCCACCTCGCCGGTGGACGCGTTGACTCTGACCGTGGCCTCGTGCAGGGCAAAGGATGGCGAACACATGACGCCCACGAGGGTTGTGTTGAACGTGTCGGTGCCGTTCTTCGGCTGCACCACCGTCGAGTTGACTCGTTGCCCGAGCATCGAGATGAGGCGAAGGTCCGACTTGTTGTCATCGCCACAGGCAGTGACGTTGAGGAAGCCCAGCGTCTTTTTGTTCATGTCGAAGCCCTGTGACCATTCTATCTGCACGTCTTGAGCGCACTTCAGCTCGGGCTGCTTGCTCGTCTCCGCGTTGAAGACGAGCTCGTAGTCGTTGTACTCCTCCTTGAAGTCGATGGACGTGCAGGTCCAGCCCGAGTACAGTGCGTTGGTCGCCGCCTCAATGGTGGCGTTTTCGGGCAGCTCCGACGTGTTGGTGAAGGATTCGAAGACGTAGCTGTCCTTGGTCCACGCGGCAGACCGGCCGTTGGGCAGCATTTCAGCGTACACGGCAGCGTATGGCTGTTGGCCCTCATACGTGTACGCGATGGACAGGGACTCGTTGGCCGTGTTCTCCAGGGTGCCGTCGAAGTCGAAGGTGGTTGCCTTGTTGAAGGTGGCCGGCTCCGAAGACGAGGCAAACAGGTTGATGTAGGTCAGGGCGTTGGCCACGGCGACCAGCCCGCCGCAGATGAAGCACACGACCAGCCCGATGAAGACGGCCCAGTGCCCCCTCCGTGCCGACGTGAAGATGGAGAAGACTTCGATGCTGTTGATGTAGTCGAGCGCCACCGAGTGCGAGCTCTTGGACCATCTGCGCGACATGGATGCCCAGGGCGTGACCCGCTTGGCGTCGCTGGCGATGGCTTTGCACGCGAAGCCGAGGACGACGATGCCGACCGTGGGCACGTATCTGGCGGCGGTGATGCTCCGGGAGTGTTTGGCGTCGGCAGGCAAGCCATGGTCTCGTCGGACTGCAATGTCCAAGGCTTCCAGCGCCGCGGCGAAGACGATGCAGTAAGCGGCCAGCGGCAACAGACGAGCCTTGCGCAGCCAGGCCGGCACCCATTCTTTTGCAGGCGATTTCCGAATGCTGCTGACGGACCGGTCGCTCTCGTCGGCTAGCATGTACTCATGCTCGGCTGCTACGACACAGTTAGCTTCCACTCCAGAACACGGCATCGAGCGACGTACGCGGCTTGTTCATCTTGTTACCACCGCCACTGCGACGCGGGAGGAGGATCGTGAGGTGAGATGAGCCTCACGGGCGGCGTGTGGCGATTGTATAGTACTTATGGAGGTCGAGCTTCGGCCCCCACGCTAAAGCATCTACACCCGCGACACCAGCACAGACCGGTGGCTTGGCCAAGCCTTGACGGGCGGCTGGCGCTGCTTTTGTTTTGTTTTAGCGCTTACCCTGTTAAAGAGTCGGTGTGCAAGGACTACCTACTCCATGGTCACGTCACTTGAGCAGTCAAGGTGGAACTTGCGTGTACCGGTCCTCATTCTTCTATCCAGTCGTCCCCGATAAGTTGGTCGACGGTGGCAAGGGATTTTTTGGATGGGGCCACCGGATCTTTATCGGCCACAGATATATCCGCAATCCTTCTCGCGACTATAGTCCAGCTGACGAATCAACGCAGAGATGGTCACGGCATCTCGTTGGTGTATCTATTTTTAGACTACCGCTGAGTCACACTCCTTGCACATCACATCCGAACCTAGATGCACACCAGATGCGGGGACGTTGAGCTGGAAAGTCGTCCGCCATCGCTTATCGACTTCGGTTATCTACATACCCCTTCACATCTGCCTGTCGAATGAGCATTTTGTAGGTCTCCTCCGTGATTATTCCTGTGTTGCCGGCCGTTTTTACAGAATACTTTTCAAGTGTAATAATATTGCACAGCCTCCGACCAAGATATGACTTTTACATGCCTTCATCTATCATACATTCCTGCTAAAAAAAATAATTCCCGGAGAATCTGGTCGATCTCCCGAAGAAGAAAAAAAATCTCGTCTTTCAGAGATTCATATTTACAGTTCAAATCCTTCTCCTACCGGAGACAGACAAAGCTTTGCCAACAAGAAGAGAGGGGAAAAAAAAAAAGAACGCGCCATTTAGTAAACGGGCACCTTGAACGCATCAAAAGTGTAGGTCCAGCTGTCAATGCCAGGTTGGTCATACACGCACTCGAAGTCGGTCGAGTTGCCGCTCCACTTGGGGCGCAGGGGCCAGTTGCACAGCATCTGCGTCTCGCCCTCGTAGTCGCCCGAGCTGACGGTCGCGTTGAGCCGGCTGGGAGCGACGCCGTTCTCGACCCAGTCGATCATGATGTCCATGTTGCTTTGCGGGTACGGCCCGGGCTGCAGGCTGTTGGCCCCGCAGTGAGCCGCGCCCGGCACCAGGAAGAACTTGTACCAGTCGCCGAGCGCCTCCACCGACTCGTTGTACGACTTGTTGGGGTACATGGTCGTGCGCACGCTGTCGAAGTAGTGCACCGAGGAGCCGGCCGGGATCGAGGGGTCAGACTCGCCGTGGAAGTGGAGGAGCTTGCCTGTTGCGGGGTTTGCGTTAGTGGGACTGTCCCTTTTGATGTGGAGAAGAGGAAGTGGCGAAGAACTTACCGCCAGACTCCTGGAAGGGCGTCAAGTCGGGCACGGTGGTCTGCAGGCTGTCCATGTAGCGGAACATGGCCGTGTTCATCCACTCGATAAGCGTGTCATAGGTGACGTTGTCCAGGCTGGACAGATTGTCGAGGTCAAGCAGCTGGACGTACTTGGTCACGAACTCGCCGCCGGTGGACGGGATGGAGAGCTCCCATTCGCCCGTGCTGGAGTCGTACTCGGTCGAGGCATCGTCGAACGAGCAGGCAGTCTGGTAGGACAGGTAGCCGCGCTTGCCGTCAGAGCCGATGAGACCGTCGTAGATGGCCTGGGCAACCTCGACAGCCTCGGCCGACACGGTGCCGTTCTGCGCCGGCGTGGAGCTCGACGTCGAGCCCGTGGTCTGCTGGCGCTTGGCCTTGGCGCCGCTGAAGCCGAAGCCGAGAGAGGTGCTGTTCTCGGCCGCGCAGTAGTAGGGCTCGCCGATGGTGGTGTTGAGGTTGAAGTTCAGCTTGCACAGGTCGGTGCGGGAAACGACACCATCAGTGCGGCCGTCAAGCGGGTCGCAGGCGGCGATGGTCAGGTTGACAATCTTCTCGAGCTCGCAGGGAGGCGGGTTGTAGCCCAGAGTCTTCAAAACAGTGGCGGAGAAGACGTGGTTCTGTAAAGTTTGTCTGGTCAATACTTTGTTCGCCAGGGGCTCAAGAGTCTGGAGCACTCACCACTTGCTGCTGAGCGTAGCGGAAAGCAGGCGCACCGGCGACGACACCGTCGTACTGCTCACCCCAGCGCTGGACCTGGCTCATGGCCTCACGGCCGCCGTCAGAGCAGCCCTCAAAGTAAGCGTAGATCTTGTCGCTGGTGGAGTAGAAGCCCTTGGTGATCTCCTTGCCGATCAGCGTCGTCTCGCCGAGCGCCTGGTAGGCAAACATGTAGGTGGCATCCCAGTTGATGGAGCCGTTGCCGTAAAGGACGACCTCGTCGTAGCTGGTGCTGAAGCCATCGTAGCCGGCGTCGGTGGTGCCGGTCACGGCGCCGTAAGGCAGACCGCCGGTGGCGCTGGTGCTGATGGTGTAGCCACCACCGCCTCCGACGTAGAAACGGTTCTTGAAGTCGCTGGGGCTGGGGAAGCCGTACCAGACGACAACGTTGTCGGTAGTCTCCTTGCCCGGACGGGTGTAGGCGACGGTGACGTTGCAGTAAGAGTAGGTGGCAGAACTGGTGGTGGTGGTGGACCCCATGCCACCGCCGGTGGTGGCGTTGTAGACGGCGCTCGCCGTGACACTGGACGGGAGGAGCTCGATGCCGAGCAGCGTTCCATTGGCGGGCAGTGCCGATTGGACGTTGGCGACGGTGCAGAGGTCCGCAAGCGAAGCAGCACTTGCAGTAGTGGCCGCTGCAAGGGCAGCCACAGCCTTGCGGGAGGATTGACGCATCGCTGCTGGAACAAAAGCGCTAGAGAGTGAGTGCTGGGGAATGAGTGAAGAGACGGGTGTCGAGGCTCCTGCTCGGGCCGTCCCAGGCTATGTGTACGCAGCCATGGCCCAGAGCACACGGACGCCACTGACAGGTAGTAGGCTGTGGTCCGTAGCCGCGTAATGGAGTGCGTGTGTATACTGTGCACTGTGCCTCGCTCGGAGCTCGCTCAAAGGGCCCATGGGAGCACCCCTGCGTCGATCCAAGAAAGGGATCCGTTGTCGCTGCGCCCACGGCAGATGGAAAAGTACCGCGAGGCTGTTTTGTTTCGTTTCATTATCTGGCCCTTGCGCTTGCGCCGGTGGATCGGGCCGCGATGGCTGAACGGCGAACTTCTCCTTCGTGGAATCCGTGGCAGCGGAAGCGGAGAAGATCAAACTTCCGTAGCTCAGTCCTTTCATCACGACGAACTTACGGAGTGACGCGTCCGCAGTTCTAGAAGGAGTTGCGGCATGAACCGAGAGAGGTGGGAAGAAAGCAGCAAGAGGATAGTGTGAGGATAGCTGGGTCAGTCGGGCGCTATCTTATCTCCGACTCGGAGCCTCGGGGCTCGCAGATACGCCCTCGGCGTTATCTGACCGTCAGCGCACCGAGGATTCCACGCCTATTATATTATTTAACGACCGAGATCAGCCTTGATGGACGCGAGACATACCTACTCCACGTTTACTGTGTAGATCCAAACGGCGTGCAAAGGCAGCAATGGCTAACAGACTGCTTGCGCCGACAGGCTCGGGGTTAGAGGTCGTCAATACAGTTCCTGCCGTACAGCCACTGGAGATACGTCAGCTTTAACCATGACCCTGTCGCTGCCGTCAAATGCTGCGGATTCTTCCGCTGGTGCTGGCACAACGCATGCATGGCTGCAGGCAGGACATGTCGTCGTCACACTCTGGAGGATCGTCGCCGGGAATCCCCACAATGCTTGTTCTCGCTGGGCGGTGCGTGTGGTGGTGATGAGGAGTGGCAGAGTCGGCGGCGTCGACGCTGGTGCCGCCGGGTAAGAGGTCGGCGCCAAGCTTCTCGGTGGGGACTAAGTTTAACCCGGTCGCGGTCGCTGCTGCCTGACTCATCCACACCCCGACGACCCCGTCCTCCTGAAACATTTGTGCAAAGCGTGTGCCTTCTCTCCCCTCTCTCTCTCTCACGGCTCCTCGTCGCGCGTCGGATCCCGCACGTTCTCACATCCCGGAAGGAAGGGCGGCATACTCACCTGCATCCCCGCCACCTGCAGCCAGGAGAGGGATTCCGCAGTCCGGCCGCCGGCTCGACGCGCTATCTGCAACACAGGGCGCGCGTCGGTGTGACACGTGCACGCGCGTGCCGACAAAGCACCTCAGCAACTCCTCGTATCCGCCTAGTGCTTTTTCAGTCTGCAGTGTTCCCATTCTGTCTCTGTATCGCTCTCTCGTACCGGCTTCCACGTGCCTGCCCATCGTCAGTCCCCCAAAGTCACGTTACCTCGGCTCTGGGCATCCACATAGGTCTCCCTGACTATAATGATCTTGGAGTGCATACATTTACAATTCTGCCCAAGGACACGCGAGTCTTGAACAAAAAACAAAAATGGTTGTCCTCGAACGCCTACCGGGCCTTGAAGTCGAGGTCCATGTAAACGGACAGCCCGCCGCCGAACTTGAAAGCTCCGATTTGCCGGATGAGCACAGACAGGCCACACGCTACATCGAAGCCGTCTCCGGTGCCGAGTTCCATGTTCAGTGGACTTTCAACGCTGCCGACTTCAAGTACAGGAATTACGCCATCAACGGCATTGTCTATGTCGACGGCAAATATGCCGATGGCCGCATCTTCCGCCCGGACGCCGTCAAGCACAAGGATTCCTTCACCGTCAAGATGTCCGGAGTGTGGAAAAAGGAGAAGGGCCGCTTTGTTGAGCGGCCTATGATGTTCTCCGATATCATGATGGGTGCGTGTTGTCGTCCACCTGGCTACCTCTTCTGTGCAATCTACTTACTGCGGATACAGACGAGGCTGGTCAGAGTGCCGCGATAAAAGGCCTCAAAGAGAAGCTGGACCTTCTCGGCGAAATCACCGTCAAGCTATACCGAGGCCGCGCCATACCGTCGCATGGCGAAGGAAGCCGAAAGGCCTTCAGCACCATCGACAAAGTACCCGAAAGAGCTCTCAAGGGCCGGGCCGTCTCTCACCAAGCAAGGTGTGTGAAGTTTGTTTTGTTCCTTGTTCCCTGTCAAGGCTGACAGCAACTAGTTTGGGGAAGGCTAGACATAGCGGCGCTTGGATCACCTGGGATTTCGAGTACGAAGATTACGAGAACGGGAAGAGGCATCCGTTCGCCATCTTCACATTCAGGTACCGGTCACGAAGAGCTTTGCAGGCCGAGTGTATTATCCCGCGGACTCCGACCCCGGTGCCGTTAGAAGAGCGTCCGATTGAAGAGCTCACACCTGAGGAACTACGAGAGCTTGTGCGGCGTCAAAGGGTATGCTCATCCTCGTCGGCTAGGTAGCGGCCTACTAATAGAAAACCACAGGAACGAGAAGCTGCCCAATTAGTCGTCAAGCAGGAGTTGAAGCGCGAAAGAGAGAGTAGCAGCATGTTCACCCTCCCCAGTGTCTCCAGTGACATGATGGACTCGGACATGGAGATCAACGACGGGCCTTCTCGGAAACGGCAGCGGACGACCCATGTCGAGGTCATAGATCTGTGTGACTCGGACTGAAGGGATGCTGGGCGGTTATGAACTCATTTGATACCAGGGCTTAGCACCAAACGGGAAGTCAAGGCCAATCTGTTGCGCATGAAATCGCGTGGTAAGGGGCAGCCTCCTCGATGATTATGTCGTCCCACTAACGGATCAGTTTTCTATTCCTTTATTTCACTCATATCATTTATTTGATACGTACTGCTTCATCTGTTGTGTTTGCCTTTGGTGACCGCTGTCCACAAATATCTTGATCATCTTGCCTCAGCGCTACCTTCGAGGAACTTTCCGCAAACCAACAGCATGTTATCGTTACATCGTCGCGTTGAAGGTTGTACTCCAAATTCAGGCAAAGACGACCAGCTGATGTCCGAAGAGAAGAACGGCTGGGCGTTGAACCACGCGCACCTGAGGTCCCGACCTGGCCATCGCCGTCCATCATCTCAACGACAAAGTCGTCGTGTATGTGTTTGTTCCATGCCACTAGGCCGCTGCCTCACTGACACAATGCAACGGCAAGCTGTCGTTGTGTCCAAGGCAGAACGAAGTCGTCGGCGTCGGCGAGGGAGCGCGGCGGCACCCGGTAGCATAGTACAGTGCTGTCGGCAACTGTGGCTAAACACCGCTGTTTAGGGTCGTCGTTGTCATCGTGGATACCGGGAGAAGCTCGCATGTCGTGTGGTGTTTGTGGGTTGAAAGCGGCGGTGACCTGTCGACGCCGATATGGAGGTGAGGTGGCTGGCGTAAGCGGCGGGACAGCTGGTGGACGCATCGAGCGCGCGTGGGGGCGCCGCCGTTGCGCTGTGCGTGATGAGAAAGAGGCGGTACGCATGGCGAGGCTGCGCTGAAACAAGTGGTGCTCGGCGTGCGACCGGTGAGGTGAAGTGATGGGGGGCGCGGGAGTGAGAATCTTGGGCGGGCAGTTGGCGGCATTCCCACCAAGGCACGACCACCACCACACGGAGTGCTCCAACCCGACCTTGCAATATATAAACGGCGAAAGCGAATGCCTCTATCACGGACGGTTAGTGTGGTGGGCATGCTCCGGCACTATACATCATCACCGGGACCTTAAGGCATAAAACCCAAAGGTTTGTGATCCGTGGGTTGCCCCATTTAGGACGGTGAACGCCTTGAAGCAGTTCATGCATCGGTTCGATTCCATTCAGTGTCATACTAGTACCTGCGCTGGGTGTTATTGGGCTTGTGTGTGTGCTGTGGAATGAGGCGTCTCAGCGTTCGGGTTGCTTTTTTGCTCCCCGGACCCACTATTCTTGTCTCTTTCGCCTTTTTTGCGACCTCTCGGTGCTCATCTACCTATTAAAGACCTTTATTTCTTGCCGAACTCAGCCCAGCCTCTATTTACTTCATGCTCTCGATCCGCGCCGCCAATTCGCCCTCTGCCGCCCGGTTGCACCCCCATCACCCTCACTCGCCATTGGTTATCCAAGGCCCTTCGGACCGGACCACATTCGCCTCGCACAGCTTCACACTGTCTGTCTCTCAGCTACGTGCTCGCTCCCTTGACCGCTGCTTCTTCTGGGCCTCCGCTTTCCATCGCACTATCATCTGCTTCCGTGTAGAGCTGGGCTGTGATCCAGATCCGCACTCCATATGAGTGAGCCAGATCCGCCCCCGATCGCCGTCCCCGTCGCGCACCGAGACCTGTTTGGCCGGGGCCCAGGCGCAGAAGATATAGAGAGCGATGTCGAAGTCAAGAGAGAACGCTCGACCGCTGGCAACGATTGTCCATATTAGCGCCGCTACACGCTCCTCGGTCCCAAAGGCGCATCTTTCCTTTCGCTCACTTTGCCGCTACGAATATCTGTATGTTAGTTTCCGGACAAACAAGACGGGTTCTGTAGCCCAAGAGGGCTTGTCATACTTTTTGACCCAATAGACCTCCCATCTCACCTCTTCAAGCTTATCAAGATCTTTTGAGCGAGCGTTCGGGAAAGAAAGATCATCAGCCTCGAGGCTAGCGCCATCACTCAACCCGTCCTGTCGCTCACGAAACCTTACGTTCCGTATCTGTTTATCCTACCGGCTTTTTCTCCCACCGCGACCTTGCGCAAGCCACTTCTAGCATGGCAATCCCCCCAAAGCCCAAACTCATCCGCAAATCCAGCTCATCATCAGCATCGTCTGCGCCATTCAAAAACCCCATGCCACACGTACGACTAAAGAAAGTCCCCGAACAGAACCGACATCATCCCCAGAGCGAATTGAACGTCCTCGACCTCTTCCTCCACTGACACACCGGAACTCCAAAAACCTATCAGGCGAAACACACAATCTTGGCTCAAACAAGAATCAGTGTAACCAAGAGACAGCCTTGCGGTCAGCCTCAGCCAAAGCTCGAGCCCTGATTGGCGCACCTCTTCGCTATCCCCTGTCGCAACCATCGCGCGACCAAACCGAATTCGGAATATTGTTTCCAAACCAGGCAAATCGAGGCTGTGTGACTGTAAAAACCCAAAGGTACGCCACACCCCACAACGTCTCATGATCTCACGAGGGCAGATCCGGGGTTTGCTCCACAGAAGCGAACTTAACATCAACCATGCAAGCGGCCAACAACAACACCGACCCGCCGTCCTCCAACCTCTTCACCGACGAGCAATGGGCCTCGGAGCACCAGCGCGCCGCGATCCGCCAAATCCTCCGCGCCAACTGGGTCGGCCCGGAGCGCGCGCAGCAAGCCTCGCTCAACGAATTCCGCCACTGGACGCCCGCCCAAGTGTCGGCGCTCTTCGCGGCGCCGCACTTTCCCCCCCTCGCCGAGCGTAAGCTCTACCCGCTCGGGCCGGAGTCGCGGTATCCACCGCACGGCGCGCGTCGCTGGGGCGAGCTGGCCGCCTCGATGGCGGCCGTGGGCGTCGCCGACGTCGCGCTCGCCGCGACGAGGCACCTGTACAGGGCGCTGCCGGCGAAGTACCAGAGCCAGTGGGACGCGGCGATCGAGGAGAGCGGGATCCCGGGGGGCGGCAGCATGAGAGAGCAGATGGACCACGCGGGGCGGGCGATGCGGCGCATCCGCGGCGAGGTGGTGGGGTCGGCGACGTTTGTGGCCGCGCCGCTGGAGCTGATCGAGCTCGCGGCGGACCAGCGGCGCGCGCTGTGCGTCAACCGCGCCGGCGAGTTTCGCGTGCTGGAGGGTGGGTATGCGGCCGTGTCGCACGTGTGGGGCGAGACGATGGGGCTGGAGTACCACGACGAGAAGATAGAGCAGGACGAGCGCGGGATGCTGCGCCGGCACTTCGACAAGCTGATGGAGGCGGCGCTGCGGTGCGGCTACGACTGGATCTGGCTGGACCTGCTCGCCATCCCCAAGAAGTCGTCGTCGTCGTCGCCGTCGTCGGCACCGGGAAGTTCTACTACTACCACCGACGGCGGCCATCGCACCGGCCTCAAAACCCGCATCATCAACACCCTCGACGCCATCTACCGCAACGCCGCCGCCGTCCTCGTCCTCGACGCCCTCCCCCTCTCCTACACCGGCGCCGACCCCTCCACCGTCGCCGCCCTCCTCGTCTGCGGCACCTGGCTCACCCGCGTGTGGACCTACCAAGAAGCCAAGCTCGCCCGCCTCGCCCTCGTCGCCACCGCCACCTCCCCCGTCTCCCTCCCCTCCATCCTCTCCGCCCTCTCCGCCCTCGCCTCCTCCCAACCCTCCCAACCCTCCCCCCACCAAAACCGCTACACCGAACTCCACAAAACCTTCTCCCGCCTGCAGTCCGTCTACACCCCCACCAGTGGTCCCCATCACCGCCCCCGCCCCTTGGGCATCAACCTCGCCGACATCGCCCTCTCCTGCACCAACCGCCGCACCTCCAACAGCAAGGACTACGCCCGCGCCTTCTTCGCCCTCCTCGCCCTCCGCTGGGACCCCGCCTGGCGCTCCCTCGACGACGGCATCGCCCACGTCTACGAGCGCCGCCCGCGCGAAGCCGCCATGCTGGCCGCCATGCACGGGCCGCGCGGGATGCGGGCGCCGTGGAGCTGGGCGCCCAGGGGGTGGGCGGGGTTGCAGGGGGTTGTGTTGGGGGCGGAGGGGTTTGTTGTCGGTGGTGGTGGGGATGGGGATGGTGGTGCAGGGTTGAGGGGGTGGTGGGGGGAGGTGGAGGTGGTGGCGTTTGGAAGGTGGAGGCGGTGGTGTGCGAGGGCGGAGGGGGATGGTGATGGGTCAGGCGAGAAGGTGGCGATGGCGCTGAGGGTGCGGGACGCCGCTGGGAGGGAGGTCGACGTGCATGTCGTGCTGGGGGGGGAGGAGCGCTCGCCGGCCGAGCGGAGGTGGGCCGATGTCCACGTTCCGGCGGGCAGGGCTGTCATGTTGGCCGCGGGCGAGATGAAAGTGTCTCCCGATTGCGTGTTTCCGACTGTGTTGTTGGCGGTGAGGGATGCCGGCGGCGCGGGGTTGGGGACGGATGATCAGTTGAGGGTCGGGCATGTCGAGTGTAGTGCGGTGCTGGTGGATGCGGGGGGCACCGGGTTGGATGCTGCGCTTGGGCAATGGCTTTTGAGATAGGTGAAGTGAGCCGAGGGAAAGTAGGTGATGTGAGAAGCTGTCCTTTTGCTTCGACTACAGCGACATAAGGAGGCCGCGTGCACGGTCGGTGTGAATGCTGAAGGGGTTCCTTCGGCTGAGAGAGAAAGAAAAAATCCAGATGTGTCCCCATCACTCCATTTGACTCCACATCCGAGGGAATGCTGTGAACTCATCTATCGAGAATTCTTTTACCCGGTGTGTTGGAGAACAGCGAGACGTCACGATCCATGTACTTATATCTCCCTCCCGGTCCAGTCTTTAGCGTCGTCGCAACGTCCGCACTTCACATCATCATCTATCATAAACAAGTCAGTCATACATCTAGACTTTCAGAGTGATACTTAGGCTAAGACATGAAAGCATACTTTTATTTTCCTTTTGGCGGACAAGAACAACTTCGTCCTTCTTGATGCTGAGCTCGTTACTTGCTTGGCTTTTAAAATCACAGAGCGCCCTGGAATTATGGTCCTTCCGCACCTCCTTAAATAATTTAGTACGTGCCGATGAGTCTCTCGCTAACACGCCTTGTTGCTCCACTTCTACCGCATCTCGAAGGGCGAAAGCCGGAACCTGTTCCAAGTGTCCTCTAAGATGTTAAAGAAGAAGAAAGCAAGCTAAATAGTACTCGCGGCAAAACGATATCAATTAAAATGAGTCTATGCATAAGAGCTCTTTGGACTTTAACACTTGGTGGAGTATTATAAAAGTTGGGGGCATAAAGAGCTCCATAGCCTCCATTAGAAGCTTCGGGATAAACTTAATTATTTGGAGACATTTATGAAATCGACGGTGCATCTCCGTAGAAGGATGAAGATTTTGGCACATAAATTGGTACTGGTAGCGTAGGCTTTGAAAGTCTATCCGATTATATGACGTGACGATGAGATGTTTACTGATGGTGCGCACAGCCACAGTTCGAGACTGATGGAGCTATAGACGAGAAACACTACTCGATCTTCCCAAGAATATTGGCATTAAAGCCAGCATGGGTCCGCATTAAGTTTGTTTTTGGAGTAGATGAGTAGATGAAACTGGTGAACGAGATCGCTAACGACATTGGCCGTCTCAACCAGTTGGCTCTCAAGCTATTGACGTGCGAGAGGAGCGACGTGAATGGTCTTCAACAACTGACCCGCCTCATGATTGCGGACTATTTGACAAGGGAGGTGCAAGACGACGAGACTCGGGGCTTTGCCGACGCCATCGGGAAGTGTATATGCCCAACGTCTGATCCCTAGGATTTCAATATGTTTCAATGAAGGCTTCCGGAGGAGATTTGACGATGATGTTGTGATGAGATTAAAGGAAGATCACGACTACTTGTTCAAGGACACTTCTCCGAAATAGTTGAATGAAATTCAAGCAATAAAATATGCTTAAATTCGAATCACCTGTTTAGTCCTCCAAGAATGGAATCATTGATAGGATAATCTGCTCCATTGGTAAGATGATCTGTCAGATTCTTGACCGATGGAGAGGTGATGCCACAAAAGCGGCTCATCCGTCGGCACGTCTCGCGAGTACCTCTGACACCATTCGGTCAAGGAGCTGGCTCTGTCCGACTGATCAGGGTACACCATAACGGCGGGACCCATCATTGCGCTACTGGGTCGAGGCCTGTTATGCTGACTCATGAGATGTTTCACGGGGCTATCTTTGTCGTGGTACACATGGCTGCACCAACAACAAGCCCACTCGAGTCGGCGATGCTTTTCATTCCCGTATGCTTTCCAATCCATTTTCTGTTGAAGAAAGGCTCGTTGCGGTATGGAAAGTGCAGCTTCACGGCCGTATGTCCTCCAGCAGGTGTTTGATCCAGTCATGTGGTCGGTAGATCATTGTAGCCCGGAAGCAGAACGGACATTCGAACCTTTCTGGTAGACGCTTGATCGGAGGTTGGTTCTGTGGCACTCCCACGCACACCGACCATAAAGTACTTCCATGCCTTCAATCTGAGCCAGAATATAACAGTAGCATTCGTCTTCCGAGTCCTCAGATAGCTCTGTTAGAATCAGCCCCTGGAAACGTCATTCCCTTCAAAATGAACTCCGGCAGTCCGACAGACTCTTCTCTAGGCCTCCTGGACGGCGTCAGGAACGCCTCGCTCTTCAGTGTGGGCGTTGCGCTACTAGAAACCAGTCAGTAGCAGTCGCTCTATTTCGTCGTTGTGAGAAGGCCAGCGCAGAAGCCAATGCGACTGAGAGGGCGGCACAAAGAAATTGTCAGACGGTGCGTAGAATGCGATTTTCGCTTTGGCAACGATGTCGCGAAAGCGGATTTGCAGGGCGCCGTTTACGGGCAAGTGGTGTGCGATGTCGATGAGATGATGCGAAGGCGTTGTTTGACAGGCATGACGAGTAACGCTCGATGTGTCCTGCCAATGTCGGCGGCGTCTTTTCATTTTACGGATTGTCAATAGTTCCATGTCAATCCTCCTGGCTCATCCAGAGCGCTACTAGATAGCGGTCCCTCGATGTTGTTGGAAGGAAAGCCGAGGTGCTGGACAGATGTGCGGTTTCACCCTGCGAGCGCTGGGCCCCGACCGAGGCCCTTACACTTTGCGGACCTTGCAAGAGGAAATCTGTCTGTGGGCCGTCCAAGACTGCAAGAATATTTTAGGTGAGCTTTTTGGTGGTTCCCTTTGGCTCCAGCAGGGAGCTGGATGGAGGGCCCCTTGTTTCACACACATTGATCGAAGATCTGCAGGGCCGTGATTCAAGGTCTGGACAGGGAGACGACAAGATCAGTAGTGCATCGAAATGTGTATACTTTCCACCAGTGGCGGCTCCTGCCAGCATTGCCAGCATTGCCAGCGCGGGCGCGGCATCATCACCAGCAGCGCAACGGCAAGCGCAAGCTGGACGGCGTTACACGGTACCTGCGTCGACGACAATCGCGTTCGGTGTGGAGGCAAAGGCGGGCGGACAGTAAAGGTCTCATGGGGAGCGTGCGGCGCGACTGGAGGGCTCGGGTAGGTGCCGAAGGCGTTGTAAGCGCGCCGCGGGTGGCATACGTACCCAGCTCCGACCTCGTGCGTCCTGCACCTGGGGCTGGGGCGGCTTGATTGGGTGGCGGGGGCTCCAGGGCGCGCATCGTTCGGACAGCAATATTTGCTGCGATGGTTCGGGCGGAACGAGGCAGCTGAGACACGACCAAGTCTAAGCCCCCAGGCGTCGCTGGACGGCTGTGTTGGAGAATCCACCTACCCGCTCGGGCAAGAGGGCGGCTCGACCCCTGCCAGGCACCGGGTCTTGCCCTTTGCGGCGGCGAGTTGTGGAGGGCGCGAGAGGGCGCGAGGAGGAGGCTTGTGGGCTCACCGGCGGCAGCCAGCTGGGCGCGGTGACGCAAGGCGGGCGAGGACTGGTCCCTAGCAAATTTCAGGAAACTGCGATCAGCTCGGACAAGCCAGCGGCGTCCAGTTCCACGGCAGCCGGCGTGGGCTGAGGGCAGCGTGCTGTCTCGTGAGATGGTCTAGACACGGCTGAGCCGCGCGCCCGGCTGGCACAAAGGCGCGCTGCTTTGTGCGGAGAGCCCGCGGCCCTTCGCAGGCGGACGTGCGCGGCGATGACGACGATGACGGCGGCCGGCCAGCGTGCGAGCGCGGTGCCCAGGACGTGAGATGGCGGATCCTTGGCTGCTCTGCTGGATGCGTGCTGAGTGGTCCGCTTGCGCCCGGCATTGATGGTTGCCCTGCCCTGCCTGAGGCCCAGCAGCCCAGCAGCCCAGCAGCCAGCAGCCAGCAGCCCAGCACCTCGACGAGCTGCCTTGAGCCCAGCCAGCCAGCCAGCCAGCCCGGCAACCTGACGCATCGCCCTCTCGCCCTCAAGTCTGCCCAACGCATCCGCCTCCGCGCCTCGCACCTGGCGTCCTGCAGCGCGAGCCGCATAGTCTCCGCCGAGCTGCGTCGTCGTGCCCTTGGCCCTCGCGCCCGCCCGTCACGCCCCTCCGCCGCTCTGGCTCTGGCTCAGACTGCAATCCTACCTATCACTATCTTTATCGCTGCTGCCGCGAACGACGACAACCCCAGGATTGACGCATCCGCTCCCACCACGTGTCGCCCGCCAGCTCCCTCTTTTCGAGCGCCTCTTCCCTCGCGCTCCTCTCGCACGCGCCCTAGGCCGAGCCCTCTCCACCCATCCACGCGCCCACGGCCTGCCGCGACCGACAGCTTCGCCTTATGCCCACCTGAGCCCGCCCGAGCAACCACCCCCGACGCCGCCCCGCCGTTGCCATGGACTCGCAGTGGGCCTCGTACGTCGAGAGCACGCCCGCCACCCGCCAGACGCGCTACTACGCTGCGCCGCCCAGCCTGACCACCGCCCACCACCCGCAACGCGACCCGACCGCGCAGCCCCAGCCACGGCAAGACTCGTCCGCGAAGCAGGATCACTACGTGAAGCAGGACTCGTACAACACGCCCTCCATCGCCTCGCGCGCCGCCTCCATGCAGATTAGCTCGCCGCCCTCTCTGCTGCAGCAGCGCTCGCACAGCTACCACAACGGTGCCAACGACCACGACGGCGACGTGCCAATGGAGGACGCAGATCCCTACAAGCCGCGCTACGCTGCAAAGTCTGCCCAGCCCGGCCGCACCTCGACCGCCTACGTCCAAGAGCAAGAAGCCTCGGCTGCCGCGCGCCGCTACTCCCCAATGAACCTGTCGCCCTCGTCACCTTACGGCTCCGGCTCCCAGCAGAGCGCCGCAAACTATACTAGCTTTTCCCCGCAATCCAACCGTCAGTCGCCCACTCGCTCGAATCCTTACATGTCTCCTCCTCAAAGCTACTATTCACCCCCATGTGAGTCATTGCTCAGATCCAGCCACTCCCACCGTCACTCCTCACTCGTGTCATCACTGTACTGATGGCCCTGTAAGCAGCCTCGCGAGCCCACCCGCCACAACTGCCTCCGATCCAATCCAACATGTCGTCCTCTGAACACTACTATCCGCAATCCGCTACCGCACAGCTCAACGCTGCCTACGGACGAGATGCCCGGTCGCCACGCAATCCGGCTTCGCAAACGCCCATGTCACCACAGGCTGCCCGCGGACCTGTGCCGACCTTCACCAAGTGCCTCAACACCGGGGATCTGCAGCCGATCATTAATGTGCAGCCCCCGTTTCGGAGAGCAAACCCTGAGGGTGGTTTCATAAGCGTGAGTGCGGAATGAAGGGAACCGTCGGTCAGGTCACTAACGGGTCTTGTACAGCCGCTGCAAGCATTGACGACCCACCTGCCTGCGACGTACCGCATTTGCAACCCCAACTTTAAGTACGAGTCTTCGAGAAATCCGCGCAGAGTCCTCACGAAGCCGAGCAAGGGCGTGAAGAACGATGGGTACGACAACGAGGACAGCGATTACATCCTCTATGTCAACGATATTCTGGGGTCGGAGGAATCGGGCCATAAGTACGGCCTCACATTTTTTGCTTGAGAGGGCCATCTTTTGACTGTGATGATAGGAACCGCTACCTTATTCTGGATGTCCTGGGCCAGGGCACGTTTGGGCAGGTTGTCAAGTGTCAGAACCTCCGGACGCAAGAGGTTGTCGCTGTGAAGGTCATCAAGAATCGCACTGCCTACTTCAACCAGAGCATGATGGAGGTCTCTGTTCTGGACCTGGTAGGGTTGCCAACCGATCTACCTGGGACTCGCTAATGCCCTTCTCAGTTGAACAAGCAGATGGACAAGAACGACGACCACCATCTCCTACGCCTGAAGGACACATTTATCCATCGGCAACATCTATGCCTTGTCTTTGAGCTGCTCAGCGTTAACTTGTACGAGCTGATCAAGCAGAACCAATTCCGTGGCCTGAGTACCACCCTCGTGCGAGTATTCGCGCAGCAACTGCTCAATGGCCTCGCATTGCTCGGAAAGGCTAAATTGATCCATTGCGATCTGAAACCGGAGAACATTCTTCTGAAGAAGTAAGTTTGCCGAAATGTCTTCATGATTGGCCGGTCGCTGACTTTTCCCAGCCTTGAGAGCCCGATTATCAAGATTATCGATTTTGGCTCTGCATGCGATGAAAGACAGACCGTCTACACCTACATTCAGTCACGTTTCTACCGGTCTCCAGAGGTTCTACTCGGTCTCCCGTAAGTTTTCAGGTGCGACCTCGCAACGGGTGTTTTGAGAACTAACGCGCAGCAGCTACTCGGCGGCTATCGACATGTGGTCGTTGGGCTGCATTGTGGTCGAGTTGTTCCTAGGATTACCGCTGTTCCCAGGATCATCTGAGTACAACCAGGTCGCACGGATCACAGAAATGCTCGGTCTTCCTCCGGCATGGATGCTGGAGATGGGAAAGCAGTCCGGAGAGTTTTTTGAGAAGGTGCAGGACGAATTCGGCAGAAAGACCTGGAGATTGAAGAGCATGGAGCAGTACTCGCGTGAGCACGGAACTAAGGAGCAACCGAGCAAGAAGTATTTCTCCGCTACGACGCTTCCGGAAATCATCAAAAACTATCCGATGCCGAGGAAGAACATGAAACCAGCCGAGATTGAGAGAGGTACGTGGCGGACAATCCAAACGCTTCCGGTACAACCTTCTGACGTGTTCCAGAAATGGCCAACCGCCACGCTTTCATCGATTTCGCTCAAGGCCTCCTGAACCTCAACCCTCTAGAAAGATGGACCCCCAACCAGGCGAAGATGCATCCGTTCATCACGCAACAAAAGTTTACCGGACCGTTCATTCCCCCGATGACGATGAGGGCGGGCTCCAACAGGTCTCCTGCGCCGGGTGTTGTCGAGCAGCAGCGTGCCGAGGCTTTAAGCAGACAACGAGCTCAACAGCAGGCCGCCCAAGCCCAAGCCCAGAGCGCCGCTTATGCTAACATGCAGATGAACCAGTATGCCCAAAGTCCACACGCCGCGCAAAGCCCGGCCATGTACAACAACATGTATAGCCCAAGCCATCAAGGTGCACCTCCTCCATACCCCGCGCAGGCAAACTACAACCAGCAGATGAGTCTGGTCCAGCAGACGCCCCGGTACAACCCGCAACAGAATCTCTACGCACAGGCCACAACAAGAGCGGGACGGCAAAGAGCATCGACAATGGACCAACAGCAGAATGGTATCCCACCTGCGCTGCAGAGGGTGATGAGTCACTTGGACCCCAATGCTCCCGTCAGGCTGCAGCCCAGCCCTGCCTACTACCCGCCGCCTCCCGATGGTGCGCCTGATGGAAATGCTGCTGGTGGACGGAGACGTGATAGCCGTGCGACTGGTACCGGTGGACAAGGCCGTCACCGAGGAAACCGCGACTTCATCCGGACGCTCGAGGACAGGACTCTGGAAGAAGGTTTCATGAACAACCAGAACCATTGGCAATGAAAGGCCCAAATGATGCCAGAAGAACCAGATTGAAATTTATTCCCGGAATCACGACCTTCTCTTTTCGATGGGTCATTATCTTATGCTTCCATGGCGCGGAACAGGGTGGGAGCCTCCCCTTTGGACTTTTTCGGCCTTCTACCCTTTGGCCATTACAAGCTGCGGACATCCCTATGAGCTGTTCCCCCGTGACGTCTTACAGGTTGTAGAGAGGGGAAAGGGGAAGTGCTGGCAACTTCCCCCAACAGTTGGGCAGCATCGCGTCCCAATGTCGTACCGGGGGGAAAGGTTGGTCGACGGCTTTCACCCCTGCTTCGTCGCGTCAATCAATGTCGACACGGGATTCGCAGCGTCCAGTGGAAATGGCCTACCGTAAATTAGTTGCTGAACAGGGATCATGGGCCAGGAATTTTTATCGGGAAGCAGACTTAGGAGCGCGAATGGGTAATTACATGCGCAAGGATGGCTGTGGTTACGAGATTCCGGGGCGGACAAGAAAGGTTCAATGGGCAGAAGTGGGTGAGGAAGGGGGGTGCAGCGGCGAGGAAGGGGAGGGAGCCTTGTATTTGCTTTTATCAGGAAACGGCCTGGGGCGACGATGACGGTGGTACTGAGTCGAAGTGGTGGATGGGGTTCATGGCTGTAGTAGTTGTGCTGCTTTTTTTTTTCTCTTCCTCTTTGCTTTCTTCCCCCATTTTCCTTTTTCCTGTGCTTCTCCCCTTTTTTTCCACTATCCCTTGTCGTCAATGGATATCGATGGATGGTACTTCGCGCGTGGTGAAAGATTGACGCTGGGGAAGGTGACGATACGAGAGAGTGGAAATGAGGAAGGAAAGGAAAAATCGTTCTCCTTTTTTTTCTTTTTCTTTTTCTTCCTTCTCGGTGCTGCTACTCACCTGCCTCCGCTGCTGCTGTCTTCCTGCATGTGCTGCTGCCAAGGTTCTGTTGTTGTTGTTGTTGTTGTTGTTGTTGTTGTTGTTGTTGTTGTTGTTGTTGTTGTTGTTTTGGTTGGTTTCCCCGAGTGAGCGAATTAAGTGCAAGGAGAAGAGAGGCCCGCTTTTCTGTTGGCCAAAAAGAAAAAGAAGAACAGAATACCTATGATGTGATGCGTATGCGTATGCGATGCGATGCAAGGGATGATGAAAAGGGAGGTCATTTTTTTCGTCGTCGTAAGTAAAGGAAGGAAGGAAGAGAATTCACACACACACAAAAACTTCTTCTCTCAAACTTATGGTGGTGGTTGTTTTTTTTTTCTCCTTTCCCCTACCCTTGGATCTTGAACTTCTTCTGGCTTCTCACTCACCATCTTCATGATCTATCTCCCTGTGCTGCCTTCGGCGTTGATAATTGTTGATCGCATAACTGTCGTGCCCCTCGTGCGCGGCTGTCGTCTACTTACGCACACACGAATGCTGCTCATGTATGTATGTACGTCCCGTGCCGCGTACCATCCATCCCAGCCCTCCATCTACCTCATACGTCCGCCCGCCAGGTAGGTCACCACCATTGCGGTTGAGTAAGCCATGGGGATTTAACTTTGTCTTTTTCTTTTCTGGTGGCTAGGTAGGTAGGTGGATGAATAATCATTCGACGACCCTCTCTATGCTACGTTTTCTTTTCCTTTTTTTGATCTGAACGAGGGTGGGCTGCCTTCCTACCTACCATCTCTCTCTCCGCTGGGATTCCCCTCCCCCCCTCCCTCGTCCTTGACCCGCCGCCGCCGCCACCACCGCCCTCCCGTCCCCATTTCTCTCCACGTCAGGCCTGTATGTATGTATGTAACGCCTCGCTCCCCCGCATGACGCGATGAGGTGACGATCCCCCCTCTCGTCCAGTCTCTTACCCTCCTTCCTCCTCTTTCCCCCTTCTTCGAGACAAAGTGTGGGGTCCTCCTTTCTCTTCTTTTAGATGAGGGGAGCAGTGCTCGGGTTGTTGGTAAATGCTGCAATGAATATGCAAGGGGTGTGTGCGCGTAAGGTGTATGTATGCGTTTGCGGGCTCCGTCTTGGGCGGAGGAGGAGAAACATGCGCGTGAGGGTGCCTTTTCCTATGTGTGTGTGTGTGTGTGTGTGTGTGTGTATTGAAGGGGGGAGGGCAATGGATACAATATGGGGTTCGATCAGCGACCACGTTCTATCATTTCTGTCTTTTGGGAACAATTGGTGATTTTGCGCTACATACGAGCGGCCGCGCGAAGTAAATAAACAGAACGGCAAACAAATGCCATTGAAGAAATGCTAGCAAGATCGCGGTGGGAAATGGTCGGAGGAAGGGGGCCTGTATGGGCTTCGGGATGCCATTCCAACCAGCGAGTGTGGCTGACAACTGGGGGTAAACGATGATGAGAAGATGGGGACGGGGGGGAAATAAGGCAAAAAAGAAGAAGAACCAGCATCCTTCCAATCCCCCCCATTTCTCTCTTCTACCTTCGCCGCAAGACCACCCGAAACTCAGGCCTTCAGCCTTGCGCCATGCAAGTCCTCCTCAGCGTCCTTGATCAAGAACATGTACCACCAGATGGTAGGCAGCACGGTGCCGAGATGCCACAAGCTATGCGCGTCGATGACGCCCTTCCAGGGCGGGAAATCCAACAGCTCGAGACTCATGGCCATGATGATCCACGCGACGATCATACCGGGCCAGGCGGCCCAGGTGCGCTTGAGGCGGCGGTAGCGCTCGATGGCGAACCACGACCACAGCAGGTTGTGCACGATGCCGACGGCGACGTTGGCGGCCATGTTGTAGGTGTAGTCCCAGCGCCACAGGGTCAGGTACGCGACGTGGGCGGCGTAGAGGGCCAGGCAGACGCCGGTCCAGGCGCGGCGGACGGACGGGTAGGGCGCGTCGGCGCGGTCCCAGCGCCAGATGCGGATGGGCGTGTAGTACAGGCCGTAGAGCACCGAGGCGCCGGCGCCGAAGTAGTCCATCTTCTCGGTGAAGCCGAAGTCGCGCGTGTGGAAGACCATGGACCAGGTCCAGGCGTTGAGGCCGAAGTAGCCGAAGACGAGGTAGTAGCGGCGCAGCGGGTACGTGTCGGGGATGCGCGCGCGCAGCGTCGAGATGCCCCACGCGTGCGCGAGGTAGTTGAGCAGCGAGAAGAGGACCGAGAACGGCTCCTGCATGCCCATGAAGCGGTGGAACGGCCACTTGCCGTGGAACTGCAGCACCGGCGACCGGTACGGCGGGTCCCGCGACAGCCGCTTGTCCGTCACGATGTGCTGGCAGGTGTAGTCGCATTCTGACGGGCAGTCCCAGAGCAGGAGCCGGTGGCGGAGAGCTGCGTGGGGAGCATCATTGTGTCAGAACGGATCTGCTGTGGATGCTTCGTAGTGGGTTCAATTGGACGGCGGGGAGGGAGACGTACGGATGGCAGGCGGCTCTGGCGCTTCACAGTTGGTTTCGGTGCAGACCTGTACAGACAAGGCGCATGAGCATCCAGTCTCTCCCATTGCCAGTTGTGCTCTACGCTCCGAGCGGTGCATCCGACACTCACCTTTACGCAGTCCTTGAAGTCTGGCAGACGGTCACCCAGCGAGGCGTGCGCCGTGCCTGCGAGCAGCAGCAACGCGAGCAGCGCTGCGCTGAAGAGCCATGGCGCGCCGAGATTTGCTGCTCTCATGGCTGGCCCATGGAAGTCAAAGCTAGGCGGGTATATAAGCAAAGCGAGGGACGATAGCGACGGTTGGCGGGAATGGCGGACGGAGACGTGACGACGGGGGTTGGCTTGGCGGCGGAGCCTGGTGCGACAGCACTGCCCGATGGGGAAGCTTTCCGCCCGCTTTACCTGGCCCACCGCCCACTTCCCGCCACCTCTCCCTTGAACCTCACAAGTAATGAATCCCTTAGGCAGCAGTCGTGGCCGCACTTCTCGCCTTGCTTCAGCAGTGGCATGCAATGCAGATTTCATTGGTTATTTATCGCTATTTACTACAGTAGTGCCGCCGACTCTTCCCAGACACTTACTATTGTTACCACTAGGCCGCTTGAGTTAGAACGAAAAGGTATCCTTCCTGAGCTTCCAGTCCGGCTTCCAAGAAAACCGCAACACAAAGAGGGAATCATGCTCCGGACCAGTCAACGACCGAGTTGCAACGAAACGGAAGCCTCGTTTTCCCCACCCGCACCGACAGACAGGTACGCCATGAACGCCGACAAAAAGTCGTCAAATCATAAGACACTTCGACTCCAACAGCGCTCCTTTACGACCTTTTCGGGCTGCTGCTCACTCCTCCGATTCCCAAGCCAACGCTGGATTCATCCACACGACTCCTCTTCGCCGAGTTCCCAGCCTCACTGCCCTCAACACCGGAAATGCTTCGCTTTTCTCTCTCTGCCGGCCGTCCTACTCCAGGTTTCCTGACCTGGCCGAACAGTTTCGCTTGAATCGAGTTACCCCTGTTCCCGTGGCTTTGGCTCTGACTTTGACTGGGGTGGGGTGATCCACCCATCGTGTAATGTTGCGGGGTTCGGCGCAACATGTTCGATGCCATCTGACTGGCCTGTGACTCATCGATCTCCGTATCCTTGTCGGATTCATTAATAGCATTCTCCATGCTTGACGCTGTGATGGTCGAGTCAGTGCTCTCCCGGCGACGCGCTTTGGGCACGTTCGCCGCTGGGGCAGACCGCGGAGCTTGGTTTGCAGGGCGGTAGCTCGGCGGAGTGCGAGGAACGGCTATTGTGCTAGGCTGCTGCGATGGTCTGGATCTGCTGTTAGGTGTGGCTGGCATCGAAGAAAGAGACTGAGCTCCTCGGGTGTGGCTGAAGCGTGCCTTCGGTGCGTGTCCCTTGGTAGGCGTCGTTGGTGCCGTCGTGTTCTTCTCACTCAACATCTTGTCGGCAAGCAGCAAAGCTTCGAACGCTTGTTCGGAGCGGTTCCGAGGGTCGTTTACAGTGTGGGCCCGGTTCCGGCTGCGCGGGGTATTTGGATATCGCGGCGTGCTTGTTATCGACATGGGTGTGCCGGTGTCGTATACGTCGCCCAAAATGCCATTCAGGTGGTCCCTGTTCTTCCTGATCCGGCCGCGCAGGCGATCGTTCTCCTCGACCAAGCCGGCAATCTCGCCTTCTCTACGCTCCGTCACGCGCCTGGAGTGCTCCAGCATGTCTCTGAGCTCTTCGTTCTCGTTCTGAAGGATCTGGATGTGCCGGCTCATTTCATTCAACAGCGTAGCATTTGCAGGGCTGACGGTCTGCTGCTGTATGCTCTGGTGGGGAGAAGTCATGTCGTTCCGTCGCCGCTCTTCAGCCTGCTGGAGAACTTCGACCTCACGCTGCGCCATGGCCAGTTCAACGGCCATGCGGTTTTGCGCCTCGACGCTGTCCATGCAGAGCATGTTGTACTGAAGCTTGTGATGGGCTGCGGAGGTGCGAGACTCGCGTAGTGCGACCATCATCTCGGCTGCCATGTCGCGCAGCTCCTCGGGTGCCGCGCCATTGATCTGATCGAGGGTGAAGACCAGCGCAGGCGCAACAGCCTGGACGCTGGGTCGCGATGTAGGCGGCGGCGACGACAGGACAGGCGTGGGCGGGGTCGGGGTCGGGGTGCGGATCGAAGTCCGACTAGGCGGAGCAGGCGGAACCTGGGACGAGGGCGGCGGCGTTATCGACGACGCGGGCGGATTGGGCGACTGGTACTTGTCACGGTCGCTCTTGGCGGCGCTGTGGTTCTCGGCGGTTTCCTGCGACGGCATGCGCGGCTGCGCGGCTGAGTGCAGGCGCTCTTCTTGCGACATGGCGAGCAGGTCGTGGGCAGCGGACTCGCGGTGGTCCATGGTGGTGCGGGAGGAGCGAGACCTCAGGCAGCTCCAGTGATGGCCGTGTGCGCAAGCGGTGAGCTGGAGAGGGTGGGCCCGACGCGTGCAGTCGCGGGGCTGGTGCGGGTGATGATCTGGGTTGCAGCGGGAGGTTGGCGTTGGACAGGCAACAGACGCGCAAGGCAAGGAGACGCGAACGGGGGCCGTCCCTTGGCAATTGGGCGGATGCGCAACGTCAACGAGGTCCGCGCCGCGACAAGGGTGCAGCAGCAGCAATTGAGGCCGGGAGAGTGGCGATGCTGGGAGCAGGCGTTTGCACGGGGGATGGAGGGGTTCTGTCTTAATGCCTGCGTCTAGCGCGGCGGGTGGAGAGCGGAGAGAGGGTTGGGTGCTGGCCAGCCACGCTGGCGGCCGGTGGAGGAGCCAGTGCCAGCCATTGGGCGCTGCTCATCGACAGCTAGCGGCAACTAGCTCTCTCCCGTCGCATGTGCTGGAGCCCCAAACAACAGCGCGCGTCTCCACAGCCCTGCCACGCCTCAAGCTCGGCTGCCGGCGGTGACGGCCACGGCCCGGCCAACAAGCTCCAGATCCTCCACACGCTGTTCTTTACACCGCGCCCGTGCTACCGCCAGCAAACCAGCCCATCCCGGATCCGTCGCCCAACACCAATGGACTCCTCGTCGAGGCTGCCGCGGCCCTCGGGCATCCCGCGCGCCTCCGGCATCCCTCGCCCGTCTGGCATACCCAAGCCCTCCACCCTGCCCGTCCCGCAGAGACCCGGCCGCGCATCCGTCAGTCCTGCGCCCTCTGAACGTTTGCGCCCCAGTTCTTCCCTGCGCGCCGCTCCCAGCCCTCGCGCCTCCTCCACGCCCCGCCCGCCCGTCGGCACCGGCATTCCCGCCAGGCCTGCCGCGAGGAAGGACGACGATGTCTTCAAGAAGCCAATTGCGCGCCCGGCGTCGCGCCAGGCCCGGTCGCGCATCCAGCGCCCCGCCGTGTCCGCCATCAACACCACAAACGTAGAGCAGGAAGACGACGTGCTGGGCGACTTGGACGGCTTCCGCACCTCGTCAAGGCTGAGTCACCGCGACGGCCACAGCGGCGAGTTTGACTCTGGCCTCGACGAGGGGCAGCCCCGCGGTAAGTCCATACCACCCCTTGCATCGCAGATGAGCCTGACACTATTGTAGAGCGGCCCGGAGCCAGGCAGGAAGGTGGATCCACAAAACGCGAGCCCTCGCTGACCGACCGCACACTCGAGAGCCTGGGTCGTATCATGGCTGAGCCGACTTCGCCGTCCTCACGTTCTACCAGCTGGTATCCAAATCCCACAAGCCCCGGCATGGGCCCTCCAGGCCGGCCCGCTTCTGCCATGAGTTCTAGAGCATCGAGGCCTGCTTCCCGTACTGCCGGCGCCTTCAGGAGCAGTAGTCAAAGGCCCATTACCCCGACTCTGAGGCCGCCGAGCAGCATGTCGCGTGCTTCGAGCACCACACGTAGTTCGCAAAATCAACGAAGCGCAAGTGCAGCGCCGAGATCTCCAGCTGCTAGTACTGATAGTCAGCCCATGTCTCCGGCAGCATTTGAGCAAGATTCTGAATCAGAGGCAAACCTCATGAGCCCCATAGGTCTCAAGAGCCCTGATAGCCTTAAGAGTCCTCAGCTCGTCGGCTCCACAGACGTTGCAAGTCCCAGCGCGCGGGTGTCGAAAACTCCATTCGGCTTTAGTAAGGCAACGGTCCGCAAGCTGCCCAGGACGCGTCCGCCTGCTGCTGCTAACCCAGATGACAACCTCCTTTCTCCAATAGAGGCTCCTGAGTCGGAGACGGAGCGAACGTTGCCAAGCCGGCCCACTACTTCGGCCAAGAAGGCACCGGCAAAGGTAGAGGCGTCCGATCCTTCGTCAAAGGTCAAGAGCTCTTCTTCTGCGCTGAGGGAGCAAATAGCAAAGGCAAAGAGTGCACGTAAGACCGCGCCGACAAAGCCAGCTATGCCAGTTACGAATGACGCACCCGTTGGAGGAGGGGATATTGATGCATTTGAGGATCCATTCAACCAAATGCCGAAGGGAGGAGCGGCGGTGATTAAGAAGAGAGTCGATACTGCCAGATCAGATGGTCGCCTCAACATTGCAAACATGGGTCTGAGTGAAATTCCAAAGGAAGTCATGACCATGTACGAGTATAATCCTGATGCGGGAATCGAGTGGTCCGCGTCTGTCGATCTTGTCCGCTTCAATGCTGCAGATAACGACATTGAAAGACTCCCAGAAGACTTGTTCCCGGACATTGACCCCGCGGAGGCCGCTGAGGATATGGATGCAGTAGGGCCGCAATTTGGCGGCTTGGAGATGTTGGACCTCCACGGAAACATAATGACAGAGCTTCCTGTCGGTCTACGAAGATTAGAGGGGCTCACCATCCTGAACTTGGTAAGTTTGAAATGCTCTGCATTTTTGTAAGATTGGTTACATTGATCTTCAGTTAGTCGCGGAACCGCCTTCACAACGATGCCTTCGAGGTGATCTCCCAAATCGGATCTCTGCGCGAGCTGAGGATAGCCGAAAACGATTTGGAGGGAGATCTTCCCCAATCAATAGGCTCTCTGAACAACCTTGAAGTTCTGGAGCTTCAAGGTAACAGGATTGCTCGACTCCCAGATGCTCTGCGTGAGCTCGTCAACCTTCGAGTTCTGAACGTCAACACCAACGGAATGTCTTCGCTTCCGATGGATGTACTAGCAGCCTTGCCCCTTGCGGAACTCTTCGCTTCCAAGAATGCTCTCCGTGGAACATTCTTCCCAGAGACCGTAACGGAAATGTCGCGCTTGCAGACCCTCGATCTATCTGGCAACGCTCTCACTTCCTTGGGCTCATCCGACCTGTCAATGCCGGCATTGAAGTCCCTGAATTTGTCGATCAATCGTATCGAGACGCTGCCAGATTTGACTAGATGGACTAGCCTCTTGACTCTACTAGTGGAAGAGAACAAGTTATCCGAGTTTCCCGCCGGCTTCACGTCATTAAGGGCGCTCAGGCAAGCCAATTTCAACGGCAACAACATCTCGAAGCTGGAGCCCGAGATCGCGCAGATGGACAGCCTCGATATGCTAACACTAGCAGCCAATCCATTGCGGGAGCGTAAGTTCCTTACTATGAACGCTGAGGATCTAAAGAGCGAACTCAAGAGGCGGCACAATACAACTGCAGCTGGGGTCGACGGGTCGAACGAGGCGGGCGACGGCGTCGAAGATGTCGCCAACGGGATCATCCCCGCCAACAGCATGTGGGCCATGAAGCCCGGCGGTCTCCTCGACCTCTCGTCCAAATCCCTCGCGGTGCTGCACGAGAACGAATTCAGCCCGGTCGCCTCGGCCTGCCGCCAGCTCGTCCTGCACCACAACTTCTACACGCACATCCCGGACTCGATCTCGCTCGCGACCAACATCACCCTCCTCGACCTCTCCAACAACCGCCTCACCACCACCTTCACCGACGCCGTCTCCCTCCCCGCCCTGCGCGACCTCCGCCTCGCCGCCAACAAGCTCCCCTCGCTCGACTTCCTCGCCGCCCACCTCGCCGCGCCCCGCCTGCACGCCCTCGACGTCTCGGCCAACCACATCACCGGCGCCCTGCCCCTCCTCCGCGCCCGCTTCCCCCACCTCACGACCTTGCTCGCCTCGGACAATGGCATCGACGAGATATCCGTCACCGCCCTCGCCGGCCTGCAAGTCGTCGGCCTCGCCAACAACAGCATCGGCCGTATCCCGCCCGAGGTCGGCCTCCTGTGGGACGAGGGCCTCAAGAGCCTCGAGATCGAGGGCAACACGTTTCGCGTCCCGACCTACGCGACGCTCAAGCGCGGGACCGAGGCCGTCATGGCGTGGTTGAGGGATAAGATCCCGGCTGCGCCGCCGCCGCCGCCGCCGAAGGAGGTGGAGGAGGGGGGAGCTGGGTCGTGGGAGGATGAGACGTTTTAGATGGAGGGAGGAAAGCGAAGGGAAGGAGGGATGAGGGACGGACTTGCTTTTTTGTCTTTCTCTTTTGGGGGGGGAGGCGTCATCGATGGAGGGAGGGGTGGGTGCATCGAAAGGATGGTAGGAAAGGTATCAGGATTGGAGGTCCGATGGGTGTGTGTGTGCGCGCGTTTGGTGGTTGGTGGTTCCTGCATCATCATCATCATCATCATCATCATCATTCAAATCTGTATGCTTGTCGATTTCTCCTTTTTCTCCCTTTCCCTGTATTCAATTTGGCACTGCGGGGGTTGTTCATGGCGCATTCGATATTTGTTAGAATCGCACACAAGACGGTAAAGGAGTATTTGTACAATATTTATAGACTTCTTGTATCTTGGAAATGGTTCGAGCTTGTCATTTGCGGGTGCCTCCGCTCTATGAGATACACCATGAGGGTAATATTCACCACGGGTGGTTCGCTCCACGACAAGCTTCTATACGTGCACTCAAGGTTCTACTTTTGGTGCAGTGCAGTGAAGCTACTTGAGTATCAAAGATCAGATATGCATCCATCCTGGAAAAAAAAAAGATAGGAGAAATAAAAGAGAGCCCAGTGCCACCCAAAACTCCGATATTCGCCAGTTCCGCTCATTCGAGATTACGACGCTTTGCGCGCATGCAAACATGCTGAATATAAACAGATGAACAGGTGCCGTGGCTTCCTTGCTCAAGTCAGACGGGGATTCTTCCAGTCTTTTTTTCCTCTAGAAGTCATAATCGTCTCCGCCCCCACCGCCCTCGTCGCCATACTCATCGTCCTCGCCATTGTCGAAGTAGTTCTCGGCGTTGTAATCGTCGTCGTCGTCTTCGTCCTCCTCGAAGTCGTCGTCCTGCTCTTCTTCCTCGTGCGGGCCCGCATCCTCGTCCTCGTCCTTGTCGAAGTCTTCGTCCTCGTCGCGTCCCAGGCCCTCCCCGTCCTCGCCCTCGAGCTCCTCGAGACGGGTCAGCTTCGTGGACAGGGCGATCTTGAGCATCTTGCGGCGCTGCTTGAGGGCGGCGGCGTTGGCGCCGGGCTTGGTCGTCGGATCGAGCGTCGTCCAGAGCTCCTCGGGGAAGAAGCGCATCACTGTTTTTTCCATCGCGTCAGTCACAAAAGCGCCCCCAAGAAAATCGTCGGTTGACCATTGTCGGGTCTGCGTGGGGACGCTGGGCGGGCGTACCATAAGGTCTGGTGTCCAGGCGCGGGATCTTGCGGCGCTGCTTCTTGTACTTTTGGCCGTAGGTGGGCATGCCTTCAAAGGGGTCGATGACGACGGCGGACGTGGCGACGGCGCCGCGCTTGGTGACGCGCGAGTGGTCGCCGAGCACGGTGTAGAGCGGGCCTTCGTGGATGCGCTCGCGCAGCGCACGGTAGCGTGCCACGGCGATTTTCTCGTCGCGCCGGGGCGGAGGTGCGACGGGAGGCGGGTTTGGCTGGAAGCGTGTCAGGCGGATGATCTCATTGAGTTCCTCGTCGGTGTAGGATTTTCCGCCCCAGAACCAGTGCGGAGGGAGCTCCATGGTGAGGGGGATTAAGAGCAGACGAGTGGTAGCATGTCGTAGTACAGGTGAAGCGGGTGTGTTTATATGGGATAGGTGTCGAACTGAATGGGCGCATGGCGGGCGTGTGCTGCGCTCGCGTGCAGCAGACTGGACTGAAGCGTGACGGAGGCCGACTTACAGGAAAGAGCTCAGAGGGCTTCGTGTCGATATTGAGCTCAGCATCATATTCCCACGGCACGTCCACACCAGCAATCTTTCCGTGTCCACCGCTGCTGCGGCTGTGGATGCCGGGCCAGGCTCTGCCAGCCATGATATAATCGGTCGTGAATATTTATCTGCAGTCGAAAAGAGTGGTCGGCTGAGGAGACGTGCTACCGGTCGGGGAACAGTGAGGGACAGGGGAGCGTCGTTGGGAGGGGTCGGTTGGAGAGATTGAGCATGGTCGCAACGATGGGAATGGGTGCGAAGTCCAACGGCGGGCACTTTTTTGCCCGGAGAACGGCGGTGCTCGAGTCAGAATCAGAAGCCAGGGTTTGCGCTTGCGCCAGGCGGGTGGGGCACACAAGCTGCCCCGCCACCCGAACAAGCCCAGCTCGCCTATCCCCGCCATCACAGTCACACCTGCACCCGGCTAAGAGAAGCTGCTCACTGACGTACCGGCAGAAGAACGCCGAGCTCCCGAAAGGGCATTGCATTCGTGGCCGCTTCACTTGATCCCACGAGCCCATCGCCGTACATCTCAGGCTGACATCGCACCTGTTCACACGGCAGCGTCCACGCGCATCCATCGCCTACATCTGCCTACTCCCGGGAGACAGCCATGTCCGAACAGCAAGATGCCGCCAACCAGGCGGTTGAAAAGCTCACGCACCACTTGAAACAAGTTGAACAGCACCCGTCACTCCCACTCGAGGCCGCGCTATTTGACGATGTGGAACCGCTTGCGGCGTCGAATTCTCTGAGCTCAAAGACGGCCTATGAGCTCCTCTCTCAAATGACGCGCCTTTTCACCCTTCTCCAGCAGGACCCCACCCCGGTCATTCAACTGGTGACCAAGATCGGTGCTGCCTTCGACTTTGACACCATCAGGTCACTGGATCCACCCATAGACTTCGCAGGCGCCTTGATCTTGGCAGCTACCCCGTACCATGCTCTAGCACTGCAGACGCTGGAAAAGGCAGCCAGAGATGTACGGCATGCTGAGTATATTGCCAGCATCCCGAACGTCATCTCGCGTTTGATCACCCTGTGGCTTGCAACCGACGACATTGGCACCGCAGAGAGGGCTGGCCACGTCTTGTATGATCTTCTCAAGGTCGACCGGGATCCTGCCGATGTCATGGGCATCGAGTCTGCACCGGACTCGATGAGCAGCAGCAATCCTCACGTGGCAGTAGATGTTTCAGACTCAGGCACGAGTGCGACCCATGGCACCGGTTTCGTATGGAAGCGCGTCTTTGGCGATCGAGACGTCTACACGCTGTTCTTCAGCTTGTGCGGCGGTAAGAGCGTGATTCACGGCATCCCTGATCTAAGCAGGTCCCAAAAGACAATTGCCCAAGCTCGCCTGATGTCCTGGCTGCCCAAGGTTGGTGCACTCAGCTGGGAGGCTATTACACGTTCGCACCACCCCGACATCGAGCAGGACTACGGACTGAAGTCGCCTGGCCTCCTGGACTTCATCGCTCTGCACACTGTCGACTACGATGGAGACATTCTAATGCACATTAGCCTCATGGAGTTCTTCTCAGATCTTTTGAATACGTGCAACCAACCATCCAAGTGAGCCACACCCAGCCCATGGATTGCGATAGGAAGGCTGACCACATATCCAAGACATACTGCATCTCATCACGAGTCCAACGCGCTCGAATATCTCAAGACACGCAAGTTACATGACAGAACTCTGAGCTTCTTCCTGAACCCCACAGCCCATGAGTCGTTCGAAATCTCCTACCTCTACAGCCCAGCTGCCAAGTATCTGGCGACCTACGCATCAACTTATCCCACAGACTTTGAATCCAGCGAAGTTAAGGCCACGACGCTCCGTCGCCTCATGAACGTGTTTAGCAGCATGAAGCCTGCTCAATGGGTCCATGGAGAATCACCCCGCCATGATCTCCACGTCCTCGCCTCGCTTCCGCGTACCTCCCTCCTTGCCGACTCCAGCGCCATCTGGGCTTCTTCGCCCCTCTCCCTCATCCCCGGCTCCCGTTCCACCAACCCCGACGCCCTCCACACGCTCGCCACCATCTTCCGCGGACCGGAAGACTCCAGCAAAAACCTCATCTTCCCCGCACCCGCCGCGCCGTCCCGCACCAGCGCCACTTTCCCCGAACGTCTCGCCGCCGAGCGGTCGTCCGCCCGTGCCCTCTGCGCGCTCTTCATCCAGCACAACGCGTCCTTCTTCCCCGATCTCGTGCAGCTCGCCGAGACGGTCGCCTTGAAGGACACGGCGCTGGCGTCGCTCGACTTCATGAACGCGCTCGCCACCTCCTCGTGGTCTGCCGAGTCCCCGTCGTCATCCGCTGCGCCCTCCGACTTCCCTTCGAACGGCCTCGCGGCGCTGCTCCGGCCGGGTAACCCCGTCGTGCCGTACTTGCTGCGGCCGGCACCGTCGTTCTCCAACCTGGTCGGCGGCAGGGGCGATGCCGAGAATGCGGCGTACCAGGTCGCGTCGAGGAAGTTCGATGTCGTGCGTGCGTTGTTGAGGAGGCTGGAGCAGAGCTCGGCAGAGGAGGTTCCCGGAAGAGAGGGGTTGCTGGGCATGCTCAGGGGCAGGGTGAGCGAGGGCGTCTGGGGCAGGGGTGGCGAGATCGGCGGACGGATCGGGACGTTGGAGTTATAGTGGGTTGAAGGATGAGGATCGCGGGTGCGGTTCTGAAAAAGAAAGAGTGCTTTGTATTGTTATGACATGATGAGAGGCAGGTCTTGATTCCACATGAGACGAAAGCAGGACGTAGAACGCGGAGAAACATGCAGTTGTTTGTTTTTATATTTATTCCCCCTTCCACTTCCAATCCCATTCCGCCCGCCTCCACCCCCTCTCGCACGTGAACATCTTCTCCCTCCCTCCCTCCCTCCCTCCCTCCCTCCCTCCCT